AGTGTTTCTAGTCAAAAGTCCTCTAGGCAAATAGTCACGTGTGGTGATAGAAGTCGGGATTTTAAGAAACAGCTAACTGTGTAGTAAAGACCTGTTGTGTTTTTTGTATTTGTAGGGAGAGTCGGGACAACAGCAAGCCAACTTTTCTCTCTCCATCCCCTGTCAGTTCTGCTGGCAGCTGGACCCGTCCCAGTACCGCTGCTCAAACTCTACCAACTGTATGACAGTGTCTTGCCCACGCAAGCGCTTCAACGCCACCTGTGATGTGTTAGACCATGTGCATTGTTTAGGTATGATAAAGGCTCAACTGTAAAGTGTAATTTATACTTCTGCGGCAAATCGACGCAGAGGCTACGCCGTAGCCTGACGTGCACCTCCTCCAAAATGTAACTACACATCGCGTCAATGCGGACCGTAAGCACTGTGATTGGTCGGCTGGGTAGCCTCGCAATGCTTCGGAGCCGACCGGAAGTGCCCCGTGCTTTGTAGTAACTTTTACTAGCAGCCAAAACGGCGGCTGTAACATGGTGGATCAATATATTTGACCGTCACAACCCGAGTGTGATCCATTCAGTCGATAACATTTGAAAAGGCTACACCAGCCGCACGTATACAATTTTACCCCCAATTCACGTTAGCGGAGCGCTAAACCAGAAGTTAAGTCTTCTCGACCGTCAAAAGTCAACACAGTGGATGCTGTAGCGCTACCGGCGAGTAGCGTTTGGGGGTGAAATTGTAGAATAACAGATACACCGACGCACAAGCATAAATGCCTGGCTACGTGTGTAGCCTATGGCATAGCTACGCATGCTTTCAGTGGGGGTAACTGTGTTTCTGTGAGCTTTACAGATGTGAAAAACATGTGAATTGTTAGCCATTTGTGGTTGCCCTTAAGTTTCCTATGCAGGGTTAGGGTCTGTTAGGAGTTCATTAATGTGATAATGAACCATTTTTCAAACTAAATGCACAACATGTATGGAGAACAATATATCACAAAAGCAGTTGTTCTGTGCTGATACATATTTGAATACATATGTAGGTGCAGAATCACAGAAACTTTTAATGTTGAGGCATCTAAAAGTAATACTATAGAGTAATCATGGCACTATATATTTCGTCCTGAGGACCTGGGAGGACTACTAGCTTTCAGTCTATCAGGTTTAAATCAGACGGAGATCTCTCACAATTAACACCGTAGCTTTTGATTTGATATCAGCATTTGTACATCCCAAAGAAGTATTTTTAAAATGAGTTTGCCACCAGCTAACCCATCAGACACGTCCAACACAATATTTCACAAAAAATAATGCCGAGTGTTGCCTTGCTTTGTTTTTTTTTTTCTGAAAAAATGTTTTCAGTCATGCAAATTTCTTTTCCTGAAATGTGTCCACTGAATGTCTTTATTTCTTCTTTAGGTAAAAGGCGCTTTCAGAAACGTTTATTTTGTAACTGGACTGGTGGCTACAAATGGTCAACAGCATTAGCACTCAGGTAAACCTGCCACTAGTATCACAAATTATGGCCAGCGTAGATGCTGAAAACATTATTTTTGAATCACTAACAGTAGCTTTGTTTCATCTGTGTTTTCTCTCATTTCTTTCTGTAGCATTACGCTTGGTGGTTTTGGGGCAGATCGGTTTTATCTGGGCCAGTGGAGAGAGGGTCTAGGCAAACTGTTCAGCTTTGGAGGCTTGGGCATTTGGACTTTGATAGATGTTCTTCTGATAGGGGTTGGCTATGTGGGACCTGCTGACGGTTCGCTCTACATCTGAAGCAGAGCTCTGGAGGTTTACACTTCACACTCAGAGATTGAAGATCTGATATGCTGTGTTCTTTGCATGTTTGCCTTCCCAACCTCGCGGTGCAACACTTCCTCTTCCCATCTGCTAACAGGCAGGAAGTGTTTTCTACATTACACCAACGATGACTCTACCCACACAACCATCAGATCAATCCCAATCATTCTGCGTTCATCCCCTGTTGAGATTCTGCAGATGGAGCTGTGGAGGGGGATGAGGAGCTAGTAATTATGTGTATCTGGTTGGTTTGACTAAACTGCTGGTTAGGCTCTGTCATGCTGATATATAGATAGATTTGGTTTCCTGCGGAGCATTGCTTTCACAGACCTCCTGACACCTTGGAGCTGTGTGTTGCTCCTCCTTATTCCAAGGTAAATTCATCAATGGGGGTCAGATGGTGACATTAGACACAATAGACAGGTTGAAAGGTAATATTTATGCCCAGAAAGAAAGCATGAATATGCAGAAGGGAATATGTTCATGTGTTTTATTGACAACAAATGTTTGTTCTTGTGGATGAATTTAACTGTTATTTTACATGTACTTTATTTTTTCCCTACAATTAGTCAGCAGCACGGGCCACAAGTGTAAGAACAATGCCCTGAGGGCTGGATGAAAGTCAAATGTTGCAAAATGAAACTTTGACATTGATAAAGTTCTTATGTTGTATAAATAAATACATAAGAGCTACTGTATGTTTAAACAGCAACTGGAACTGGTAGAGAACCAGAAAGTAATGCAGCGGCTAGAACCTATAACTTTTGTTATCACTTCCTGCAATATGTACTCATCTGATTTTGTGGGAGAACGCACAGAAAATAATCTCTAACAGTGTATGTTTGTACATGACAAATATTGAAACACTTGTGTTGCACTAGCAAACTGCAGTTAGTTGTGGTATCCTGTGTTGGAGATATCCTGTGCATTCAGCTAGTAATTTTCTAGAACACTGGGCTTCCCTCTCACTACATGTAAATATGTTTTCTGTTTTCAGCCTCAGGTCACAGTTTCATCTGTTTAGAACACTGTAAATGACATTTTTTAAGTTATGTAAATAAAATTGTAAAATCAAATGTGTTAATCTAATTGTCCTCACAGTATAGTGCTGGATATACTAGAAGCATGGCTAAATGTTTTAATTTACTTCTAAACAATTTTGACTAGCATTTCTACATTGAGGAACCACACACTGAATGCTAAGATGTGTTCTGGAGCTCTATACTTTAAAAAGAGGCCAGCATCATTATCATCAGGGAACAGGACAGATGCTTTTTTCCAAGAGGCCGTGATCTTGGACCCTTTTGCTTGAACGCTGTTCTTGTAGCGTCAGAGGAATTCAGAGCTGAGGTCGTCTTCACAGATGTCTGTGCATTTCCCACGTTAAACACAGTGAGTAATGCCAGAAGCCCTTGTTACCCACAGGCGTGTGTGATAGAAGGTGGGGGTAACCTAGAGGCTGAATGCTCCCTTCCTAAACTGTTATGGGTTTTTGAGCAAGGCACCAAATTGCCTCATACAATGGTTTAACATGTTAAACCATGTCAGTTATTTCAGTAAATCAGTTACACATTTTTACAACAGCACTATTTAATTCACCAATTCATGTAGATACAATATATCCGTGCTCATGCTGCATAATGTGAGGAGAAAAAAAAAAAGTATCACAGGAGGGAAGGGGGGGGGGGGGGGATCATTTCCCATCTAGAGCTTTGTTTTTGTATCGACTTTTCCAGTTGGCTGCTTTGCTGAGACTGTTGTAAATTTACTCCACCCTAATTCTAGTTCCTCAAATTTGGCACCGCCCACCCACAGCTCCCACCCACAGACTGATGCAAGTGTTTGTCATACTGTGTTGAGGAGGAGACTTGGAAATGCTCACCTATTTACTGCAATACCACAAGTGATTTTTTCCCCCACTTTTTGGAAACTTATAATTTAAATCCTGACAAATTACTCCGTAAATTGGCATCCACAAGATATTACCTACGATTGTTGCTACTGACTGGCCCAGCATGAGCCCAGTTTGTCTGAATCATCCTGTGTAGGTATGAGTAGGTTTTCTTGCATTGTGAACTTCTGTAAACCGTCAATGGGTATAACATTTAAAGCATATTGAATGGATGTGTTTATCCATACATCTATGTATATCAGTGAGTAAATGATACATGCATTCAAAACTGTTATAACAAGGGGATGGTAGAGTACTTAGTTTAACACAAAGCTGAATGCACAATGACATGGAAAACTAACTTCTACAATACTAAGATCAAACACAAAGCTGGAAGGCTCTTCTCTTTAGATATAGCCTGATCACATCTTAGTAATCATGTCTGGAGTAAACAGCTAAATTACTCCACTAAATAGCTTTTTATTCATACATCAGTGGCTACTGCCCAATTATGAATAATGGTCAGAGTGGTATTTGGTTTTGCGGTCTATTATGATATTCCCATTTTCTGTGAGTATGAAACCATCCTTAATGAGAATTATATAGAACTTCATCTTATGAGAATAATAGTTTAATTTTGCGGCACTTATCCCAAACAGTCATTATTCACACTGTTAGAATGAACAGTCATTTGGAGTTGAACCAAAATATTGGCCGTCAAAGACACATGATATCACGACTTCCTGATTATGAATTGCAAATTATGCAAAGAGGAGAACAAAAGTTTATTCATCCCTCTTGCGCAATCCCACTTAGTCCCACCGCAGCTCTGAATTTGAGCATCGGCTCTGACCCTCTGTCCTCCCATTATGCTCACTCCTACAGGAGATAACATCTCATACAAAAAGAGGATAAACAGAATGCTGTAACCGCATGAATTCAAAGTCTGACCACTCCATAAGCATCCAACTGTGTGCTCTCGCTCACACTTGGATGGTTGCTAAGGAGTATTTGAAACCACCTAAGGACACGACAGAAATTACAGTGACTATAAAAAGTAATAAACCAAAATGGAAGAAGTCCATGGGTTGTGAACACTGAATCACAATGGAGTAATTAAAATTTTGTTTATACTAATCAGCAGAGAGGGCCATCAAATGACAGTGAAGTGAAAACAATGATCTAAATTAAGAACAAATGAAAAACACAAAATGATTGCCTGGGTAAGTGCTCACAACCTTTGCTATGACATCCAAATCATTATTAGTGCAGCCAATAATGTTTTTTTAAAAAAAGGCACAGAATTAGATAAATGGAGATCACCTGTTTGTAATCAAGAAATGACAAGTGATTTTAAGGGTCAGTGCACACGTGTGTGTAAAGTGTAACAGCTGGTTAGTCATTTCCAGGGTAAGAAGACAAGTGAATGTTCCAGACAAGTTTGCGACAAAGCTAATTATATAACATTTCCAAGACTGAATACAAATACTTTGACACAAAAAGTAACATGGTCTTCCAAAACTGAGCTTTTTGTGCATCATACATACTGAATCCTAAATGAAGCATCATGCTGTGGGGACGCGTGTCTGCAGCAGGCCCTAGAAGGCTTATGAAAGGAGGGGTCAACTTAAATGCAGCACAATACAGACAAATCAGAGGAAAATCTGTTGCAGTCTGCAAGAGAACTGTGGGAGGCAATTTTCCAGCAAAACAACCCCAACAAAGCCAAAGCTTGACCGGAATGTAAGGTATCCAAAACAACAATGATACCGTCCAATTCAGAACAAACCTCAATCCAATCAAGCATCTGTGACGAGACTTGAAAATTGCTGTTCAATCACACGGTCTCCATGCAACTTAACAGAGCTTGGACAATGGATGAATGAGGATGTACAGAGGCACAAACCTGACAGACTTATCCACATAGACTCAAAGCTGTAAATACTACCAATAAGGTTCTTCTGCTACATATTGACTGGAGGAGGGCAATACCTGCGCAACCAGTTGTGTGCATCATATTTGAATTCAATCAGGATCATTTGCAGACATTCACAAAACATTTCATGTTACTCAGTGTCAAAAACAAAAAACGCAGTTACATCCACTACATTCATTATTGTAAGACAGCAAAGTGGTCTAAGTGTTAAAAAAAAAACCCATTTCTTGGCATTGCACATACCAAGATACAGGCAATTTGAATAAATTACTTGTGCAACTGGTCTCCTCCTGTTTTGTCAGTGTTCGGTTCCTTATGAGGGTTGATCTAGCTTATAATCCAACTCTGCTATCCTCCCATCTGTGCAATGCATTTAAACAACCCCCCCCAAAACTACGAGTGTGCCAATTCTGATTTCCAAGTCTAGAATTGCTTTTATGGTCCTGGCTCAGCAAGAGTATCTCACTTGAATCTTATTTACACATTGAAGCAAAAAGATTAGATTGAGATTTTTTTCAGACCATCATGACTACCTCAAAATGTGTCAAGCAAAAAGAGAAAGTCAGGCCAATTGCAATTTTAGTGATTTATTTGTACAATAGGAGTCGCACTGTACAAATACCCCAAGCTCAGATGTAAAGACAAGAACATAACAGCATCTATTCTGCCTGACCTGAACATCCCTCAAACCTCATTGTGAGAATGATGGAAACATACGCAAAAAATAAAAGCTAAAAAAATAAATAAAGCAGCTACCTACTTAAATTATAGGACTAGAGGAGACCCTTCCCAACTGCCAAAGCATACTGAAATTAAAGGCAAAATAAAAAAAAAAAAAATATAAAAAAAAATCTCATGTCCAAGTTTAACTGTCCAACCTTTATGGCAGTGGGGCGATTATGGCCTCAGTTTAAACATGTAAAAATGGAACTCACAGTAGACAAACACAGAAAAGGCATATGGTGATATCGCTATCAAGTCCATGTGCCCATGCCACTTACACCACATTTATACACCATCCACAGACAATGTTGTGAGCTTTTCCACACAAGACCGAGTTTCAATTAAAAAAAAAAAAAAAAAAAAAAAACACAAAAAGGTGGAACTTCCACTCTAACCCGCCCCCATGTTGAACAAGTTTAGACAGCGACAGAGTGACATGGTCCATTTCAAATCAATATAAACGTACATTCACTCAAATTTCCATTAGTAAATCACTAATGTTACCATGGTAACTCAAATGTTGTATAAAAATATAACAAAGACTGAAAACTAATGCACTCAACAAAAATATATCTACACAGTCTTAAATGTGGGGGGGGGCTGAGCGACACAGCCAAGAACAGCTCAAATTTCCAATCTATCCTTACTTCTGTGGGATAAGGAATGTATAAGGATCCTCCACTTTTCAAGTCTGAGTAGCAGCAGTCTTTCCCCTCTCACTAACAGTGACACAGTGAAAGCCACGGGTTCCATCGGGACCCCTTGGCAGCCTCATCACCCCTGGTGGCAGGCCGTCAGCATTCTGGATCTTTCTACCCAGCATCGGACTGCCAACCGGACTGCTTTCCTGAGAAGCCACCTGCTTGCGCCGCTGAACCCACGGGCTCCCTGAAGGGGTAAGACTACTGTCTGAGGAGTAGTCTGCCCAACGGCGCCCCGGTTCAGGGCTCAGTCTGCCTTCGCTGACTAAGGGAGACTTGTTGGAATGAGGAGATTTGCGCTGAGAACAGGGACTTGCACGGGGGCTGGACCAGGGACTGTTACGCGGGGACATACCAGGACTCAGGTGATTGTTCTGGAAGCTGATGCTCGCAGTGGTGGGGCTGAGCTTATTGCAGGACTGGGACTTTCTGGTCAGCCTAGGAGACGTGGGGGTACTCTCAGTCTCTGAAGAGCTGCAGGCCGAGTCGTCCCCATGGTACTGAAGCTCTCGTACTCTGCTGTTGAGCGAGCGACTCTTACGCATCCCTCCCTCCTCACGTGGCCGTTCTTTGGTTACCTTCTTCTTGGGTGGTTTGGTGCCAATCAGGACTACTTTCAACCCTAGGGAACTGGCCCCTGCATCCTCGCTCCCCACAGCTTCATTGGCTTTGACAGCAGCCTCCACCTCCTCAAACTCCACAATTGCACATTCCTCAGTACCTAGCTGAGTGTAGCGGCCGCTCAGCCTCTTCAGGTCAGCCGGCAGGTCCTTCCCTGGCTTCAGGACTCTGACAGAGGCGATGGCACCGTATGTTCCGAACGCTTTCAGCAACAGCTTCATCAGCTGCTCCTGCTGAATGGCTCCTCCCTCACTGCCTCCATTATCCTTAGTGAGAGCCGCCAGCTCTGGCCACTTCTGCAAATCACTTAACAGCAGCATGCGGCTAGGCAACGACTCACTGGCAAAGACCGGCACTGCTGATTTACGCCGCACCTTACGCCCCTCATCATTCAGCTCAAGTATCTTTGAGTGTCTCAAAGCATAGGCAGTTGTTCTCCAGTCACGAGTCAAGTGTTTCACCTGCAAAGAGACAATGCTTGTGTTATACATGCGAGATGCTACATGATTTAAGAAGGCCATCTCATAACCATTAGGTCAAATATAATCCCTGCTACAGCTTCTTTAAGGGTCATGAAGCTTCCCTTTAAAAAAAAAAAAAAAAAGAAATTTAAATAACCGAGGCCTGTCAGCAGAATCAATTAGTGTGTACTGCCATCCTTTCAGTTATACTTCCCAAATCAATATCTGACAGCATAACCGATCCAACACCAAACATCCTCATTCGTCACTGTATAATTTGATCATATTTGAATCATTGTTTATATTAAAAATATGCACGGGGCTTCAGATCACTTCTGGCATAAACAGATTTTGTTTTTTTTAAATCTGCATGCATAAGCCTAAACTAGCACCAGCTGTTGAATCAGTGTGATAATATCGTATCCCCAACAGCATTATGTTGACACAGAACACAGCCAAGTCATTGCTATTAAATTCTCAATTTCTTAACCTCTACATCACTGGGAATTAAAAATGGCATGTATCAGTGTTTAAATTTTAATGTAGCATGTGATGTGCACGCTATATATAGCCCATAATATAAAAAAAGCTTTGAGTGCAATTTCCATCCATATCAAGACAGGGAATTCCAATTTTCTGAGTTTCCAGAGTCAGACTATACCCCAAGTGCTTCACAGTGACGGTTACCTTTTTGAATGAAGTGAGCAACTTGACGCTGACAAACCCGAGCTTGTTGCGACGGACATGTTTGAGCAGGAAGGCATCATGCTCCAGGTTCTCATCTGACAGGTAGTACTCGATCTGGGCGACCAACTTCTCGATGAGCTCTGGATCTGGGGGCTGCCAGCTCTCCTCCTCCCCTCCACTGGTCCCGGCACCACTGTGTGGGAAGACAACATGCATCATGGTCAGCAGAGATTAGTATCTAGTACATCACTGAAACAGCAGAATGCTTCATATCCTAAACTGCCAATATTACAACTGTTACACATTTCACTTTCATTAATACAAAAAGCCAGAGTCTTGCAATTTGTTGGCAGGAATAAGTCCTGCCATTTCCCTTTCCAATTTTCCTTGCAGCAGTTGACAAGCTGCGTCTCCAGCCACAGTCACCATGCCTCAGTGCCAGACCTCGACACCACAGTGTCCCTGAAACTGCCAAGACCTCTCCATCTGAGGGGCACAGAGTCACAGGCTCTCCCTCCCACACGGAGTATGGTGGCTTACTAAATCAACTTCACACAATTTACAAAAACTGGTACTAACACTGCATTACTAACACACAATTTGCAATTACAATCTCAGTCAGACACATGGAGGAAGCTGTGAAGCAACACAGTCAGGTAGCCATGCAGAGTGAGGGTCTGAATGAAATTTTGTGGATGACTCATCACCTCCTCCAGCCTCCTCCCCTCCCTCGCACACCCTTAGTCAACAGCTTTCCAGCCGGCTGACCGCACGGCTGGCACAAGCCCACTGCTTCCCCGGGATGTAAGATAAAAGACAACCACGAGCTGAGCTTTCAGAAGAGAGTACTGTTACGGTCAACACATACACAGGGAGGATTTAATTATGTGAATCAAATAACACATCACAGATGTTGGAGATACTGGACATTTAAAAAAAAAAAAAAAAAAAAATAGGCTGTGATAAAGTTCACATTGAAGTCACAAATAAGTGTACTGCCTCTGTCTGAAGAAATGTAGTAATTTTAGGTGAAATAGCCACATATACTCTAAATTCCAAGCATGTGGTTAATCACATGTTCAGTGACCTTAAAATACATCCTGTGTGAAAAGTGTGCCACAAAGCACCGGCTGTCACAGGTGTTAAAGATCTTTATGCCAGAGAGCCATTATGCATTTACCTACAAGCAAACTGGAAGGCTTGGTATGGATAGGGCAGTTTATTTTCCCCTTTGGCCTTTCTATCATTGACTTCTTTGTGCACTGGTCCAAGTAGTAGGGAACTTATAGGCCAGAGGATAAAAATAGCAGGCCATGACGCAGGGGAATTAGATTAAAGTGAAGGTGTCATCCTCTCCCTGTCTCTATAGCACTGATTCTGCCTACAGGTGGTTAAAAACGCTTCCCTGCCATCATACCTAGGAGAGAACAATATCCCTCAAGTTTACTGTGAGCATCTATTGTCCTCCTTATACATGGTGATGCCATTCACAGCCTTTTGTTTGTTACTGTAATAGAGCTACACCGGATTTTAGTTGATTTGTACAGCAAACTTCTATACAGTTGGCATTGTTTCAGTGAAACAAAGTAAAGCAATCCAACTGTATCGGTGTTGATCAGCCACTGGCGGTTCACAAATAAAGTTACCGGCCAATACATAATATAAAATCCGATGCAGAAATAGACTGGTAGTGTAACCTTACTTTCCCAGTCTGCCTGCCATGATATTTGGGGATGCACTCACATATTGAATAAAACTAAAATGACATATATATATATATATATATACACAATATATCAAAGTAAGTGTCAAGGACATTTGTTTACATAATGATATAATTTACTTAAAATTCAAAACCTTGCTGTCACCACAACTATCACTGCTATTAAGACATTTAACTTAAGAGTAGCAATAACTCAAACCTTGATTTGTCATGCCTTCCGATTTCGTCCTCACTGCAGCTCCCTCCAAGGAAGTCAATATTATTCGATGACACTTCCTCGGGTTCCTCGTCCTCGGCCGCTTGAATGGCCACTGTTATAGTCACCGTCCCCATTTCCTGCGTGTGCTGATCCACGGTGATTACCTCATCAATGCCCTGCTCCGCTGACGCATCTGAGGCGCACTCCGCTGGGTTCGGATTGGGGATCCCCACGGTCCCACTCATGTTCCTCGAATAAGTCAAGGTGCTTCCACCCGCTCCCTTCCCCTCTTCTGTTGTAGTAGTAGCAGCAGCAGCAGCAGCGCCTCCCTGGAAGCTTTTAATCTTGCTCGACGCGAAGGCACAGACAGGATACGGGGTGCGTAAAGCTGCTCGACGCCTCTTCGGGCACCAGTGATGGCGGAGAAGGACCCAGGGGGCTCCGAAGACGCGCTCCACGGCTCGCCAGAGACCCCCGATCCAGATCCGACCCGACGGAGGGCCCTGATGAGCAGCGGGGCTTGTAGCAGCCAGCGAGACGCAGCCTTGAATTGGTGAGACCGACAGGCTGGAGCCTCCTTGGGCTTCTGCTGCTGCTGCTGCTGCTACTTCCTCATATGTAAGAGGCTTTCTGCTTTTGAAACGAGCTCTGGGATTGGGCCGCGGCAGCGTCTCTTCGCACTCATTCCCAACCCACCAGGAAAAGCTGACACACAACCAAGGGGGAGGCAAGAGAAAGGAGAGGCAGCGCATGAAGGCGTTCACCAAGGCGTGCATTTTTCTCTTTCTCTTTTCACACACGGATTTTTACACACAGATTGGCGTCTTTTTCTGTGAAGACACGAACGGCCTGTGTCCCTAAGTAGGGGAGCAAATGCACGTGTTCCTCTCTAATTGGGAAATTGCCGTGCCAAGGACGAGCCCTTCTCTAACGCCGCTAATTGGATAATAGGCTTTCAGCGTCTGGTCGCACGCACTTGTAAGCGAAGTCATGTGCCTCAAAGAGGGAGAAAACACAATAATAGTAGATATTAATGGACGTCAAATTGGAGATTGCAAACAATTAGTAGCCTATGATATCGAAATTCCAGATTAGTTACACATTGAAGTAAAGTAAAAGTGAACTAACACTATCATACTTTCTGTCTGTCCTACATGATAGCTTTGCTGAAAACGGTCAAATTTAAGAATACTGACTTCAAGAACTATCAAAATCATCTGTTAAAAAGTACAGTTTGTAATTGCTAAATTCACTCTCAAGTCAGTAAAACTCCCATGCCCTAGTGTCCCCAAAGCTGTGGCCCTGCTCTACATGGGCCCATTGAAACCTCACTAAAAAAAACTGAAAGTAACCTATGATTATTTTATTTTTGTCTTAGGGATCCACTAATTTCATTGATGTTGATTTGTAGCACAAGGGCATAATTATGTAGGTGTTGAGAGCATTATCATTACAGTCATCTGAATATTTCTCTGTAAACTGTGCCTCAAGTCCATTTTTGTAGCTTGTTGTTGGCCTCCATCCTAATAACACAGTAAATCACCCACACCAATGTTGTTGGCTGTTGCCTGCCCTACATGAAATGTCTTTTCTCCTCCCCACAAGCCATGCTCACAGCTGGTGGGCAGTCTGACTCATTCTCTGCACCACATGCCATATAGTGCTCCAGTTTGTGTACAATGCCAATGCCAATGCAATGGGGGGGGGTTCATTAAATATGAACCGCTTTCTAGAAAATTCCTGAACCAACAGCATTTAGATGGAAATTGTTATGAAGCTGTGAGACAAACTGGAAGTGATTTCAGGATGGCACTGTAAGCAAGTAGCGGTGCAGGCCACCTCTTTTCAGTATAATACAAGACAGTTCAACAGCACCACAAACTACAGCCTTTAAAATTACCATAGAGTTGAACACCTCACTGACACATTCTTGAAAAAAAATTTGTAAGACAAAGTTCACATATTACAGGGCTGTTGTGTTGGAATTGATTGGGCTACATTTATCTAGGTTTAGTAATAATCTGGAAACTCAGTATATGATCTTTTAAAAGTTAAAAGTTCTAAAATCACTCTCTGGGGATTTTCTTCTAATTTGCTTTTTTCCCACCTCTGGCTCCTATTGCTCCACCAACCCTCTAAGGAGAATCTTCTCCAGAGGATTTTCTTCTTCATCCCCCCAGTTTCACATGTCCTTTTATGCCTTTCGCTTGTAGGGTTTATGCTGCACATGTGGACCTTCAAATCCAATTCAAACATTTAAACAAATAAACTGGATTTCGGTTATTTTATGAGACTGTGATAACTCATGAGTAAAATATCTTTGTCACCCACCATCACCCATTAGAATGAATGAAGCCTTTACAACAATTTTAACAAATCCTTTTTGAATACTTTAGGTCACTGAAAACGTGGCTGCAGGTATTTTTCACTGGCAGATGGAAGAGACCTTTGTAACCAATCTGTTTCCCCCTTCTCGTTTTTCTGCTTTCTTGTTTGAGAATTACAGCAAAAAGTGGGGGATGGGTGTAATCATGTGAGGAAATGTTTGCAATCCTTATCTCTTGCAGCCTCCACAGCAAATACAGTGCTGTTTAGACCATAGACTGTATACATGTAAATTTGTAATTAGCATGGATGCAATTTCAACTAGAGGTCTTGGATTAAAATAATCAAAATAAAAAACAGATGTAAAGGAAGAACGTCTCTTCATTTCCCTTTACTTGTCCTGCCGATATAAGGTTTTCTGCAAGCTCATCATTACACATCCCTTTGGACACTGACTTGGTTATTAAGCAAGTCAGATAACATTTAAGTTAGTGGGGAAGCGGGTTACTGTGAACCATGTGACTGCAAACCCATTACCTGAACCTGTTATTCTTGTGTGTGAACATAACCAAGTGTTACAATTCTTCTGGTTTCTCAGTTAAAATCATTGACCCTGTGTATACACACAGGGTGTTGCGTTAATAATGAACTGAAGCTTGAAATCATTAATCCAGAGCTGTCATGTAATCTATTTTCTCTCTGGCCGGGAACGACATAAATCTTTTCAACACCTGTGGATAAGCTAAAATAAAAATGTTTGATAAATGGATTGACTGACAGGAAAAACCAGTGTTCTCTCTTTCTGTCACACACACACACACACACACACACACACAGGCACACACTCACTGCCAGATGGTAGAAAGCAGCAGATCTATGTAGTACATCACCTATTATAGTAAATTTTTTTTTTCAACATAAGAATATGTTTACAAACAATGTCCCTGTTTCTACATTTACATGTCTGCTGTCAATGAAGGCAGGAGTCAAATTGTGCTCCTGTCAACAAATCAGCATTTCTGGTACAATTACACCATGTTCATTTATGCATTTCAAAGCTAATATCTATATATGTCTACTAACCAACAGTATGTATCACTTTTGTGATGTGTATAGTTTTATTTCCACCTGTCCAGTTTTATTGCTGACAAATCCTTGACTGGGTCTAACTTTAAGAACAACATGTGGCATGAACACCTTGGTCAAGAAGCAAACATTTACTGTTTGAGGGCAGAGGGTGGCAACATTATACAATACGATAAAATAATGAGGGCACATGAAATACAGATAAAAAAAGTGACAACAAAGGAATGGCACCTTGTATTGGCTCATGTAGCAAAGTAAATAAGTAGATCTATTTATAGACAACTGGAATTTACATTGTACGTTTTCAATATGGCCTGTCATGCAAACTGTTGATGTTCAACTCCCATAATATGTGTCAGCTTGTGCTTCATGAATAGACTGTGACAGGCAGTGTGTGGGATGTCCCTTTGATGAATCTGGACTTGTGTTCTCTGAGCAACCGCTTATTACCGCCAGAGTAAAAAGGCTGAAACTGCAAACAAAATCTGTGTTGTTACTGACTGAGATTAAATGGGTAGTCACTTGGGTTACATTGTTAATAGAGCAAAGGGAGAGCACCAAAACTGTGGAGAACGACAGGGTCCAAAACATTGTCCATCCATGACAAATAATAAAGAATCCATATGTTTTCATTTATTGCAACATACCAAAGCCTATTTTAACGTCTTAGCCACTTAGATAGTCCTTTTTCACAGTGGACATTGGGACATTTCTCAAACACATCATGAATGACATCATGAATGATATAATAATAGACATCTGAGAAATGCAAGTGACTCACTGCCGTGGCTTACTTACACACCTAGTCAGGTGTCATAATTGTTATTTGTTGCACCTGTGCCTTCTCCTGTAATGACAAAATGTTCACTGTGAGAGAGGTCTGTTTTCAATCTTCTTGTGGTCATTATCATAGCAATCTCTTCCCTCAGAGTTACATCAATTTTATGTGGAGTACAAAATAGGAGTAGAGAACAAGTCAAAATGACAGGTGCAGGTAGAAGTAATGACTTGACTTGTTTTAATTATGTTTTGATTTAGATTGGGAAAAGTGCATGCAAAACTATTATGTTTAATTTGCATCTTTACAATTACATATTTACAGTACTTTGTCTGTCATACAGTTTACGTCAGTGATATGTGGTGCTACCTACTGGCCTTATCATATTAAACAGTTCGTCTTCACCGTACTGACTTCTCCAGGATTAGAATCTTCTGAGGATAATGTTTGACTGCATTAAACACCAACATTTTACTCATCTACTCTATGCTTATCTAATTTCCTTTTAAGTGTGACATGATACCCCTAGTTCTTCTATTTTGCTGTAAAAAGCCAACTGGACCCACATCTCAAAGGTCTATGTGACTGACCATGGCAGAAGCTATAGTGTTTACTTACAGTAGGCTACTGTGTACATCAGACCATTTGTTTTTCTGCTGCATTTACTCTGCAGTAGGTTATTCTGGGAGGGGATGCATGATTGGTTCATATTTATCCTTGACCTGTTTAACTGAGATTGATCTTCAGTGTGATGTAAAATGACAACAAGATTTAAGGTTTAATAAGCAGGTGGTCCGGTGGATGGCCTCACAGCATGAAGGTCGCGGGTTCATTCCTGGTTACCTTTTTGAGTGGAGTTTGCATGTTCTCCCCGTGGGTGCTTCATTGTGAGCGTGACTGGTTGTTGTGGCCCTGCGATGGATAGGCGACCTGTCCAGGGTGTACCCTGCCTTTCGCCCGATGTCAGCTGGGATTGGCTCCAGCAGCCCGCAACCCTGTACGAAGGATAAGCGGTTGACGATGGATGGATGGAATATTACAATATGATACTGTAATCAATATCTTTTAAGTATTTTAATCCAATCTAACTATTTTTCTTAAGTATTTTTCTATTTCTATTCGCTTCATAGCATCTTTGGGTTTGTAAAGCTCTTTGAATGGCTGCAGTGTTTGGAAGGTGATTTATAAATAAACTTGCCTTGCCCACGGTGTAAGTCCAATATAAACTGAAATAAAACAGACCTTTAAAGCTACATTGTGAAACAGGTAGCTTCTGCAAGACAAAGCCATAAAGTTAGGAGTAAAAAAGTTATAAACCAAACCTTTAAAATAGTTTCCCTACGGTGTGCTTTCTCAGTGACACGGGAAGTGACCGTAACCAAGCAACGCCGTTATTGCCATGGCAACAACGCTTGTCTCCGAGGGAGTTTGTAGCTGCTGAAGTAAAGATAACAACAAATCCAGCGTTAAGCTCTTGAACTAGCTCACTGTACCAAATTATTAAGCGCATTTCATGTAAATAATAAGTCAGTTCCGTCACTGAAATAGAGCTTCTTCTTTTTTCAACGTTCCAAGGTTGGTCTTAATTGTTAACGTTAGCAAACGTAGCTAAATGGAGCCGGAGCGGTCTGAGGGCAAAACGATGCGGTCTGAGAAACACAGTGTCAACGACGGATGGGTGTTTCTCACCCCCATGGTAAATAACGTTACCACTCTTTGTATACTTTTACCATTGCACTATTAAAAGTGTAGTGAAGCTTCAGGCTCAGTAGAGAAAATTATCAGTTAGTTATCGTTAGTAACTAGAGGTTAGCAGCCAAGCCATATTTCACTGTTTGAATAAATTGTCTCCAAGTCTTTTTTCATGCAACACAGTTGATGTGTTAGTTAGCCTGACAATATTTTTTGCAGGTCAACAGCTGCAAGTTGCACAATACGACTGTCAAATCACTAGTACCAGAGAGAGCCCAGAGGATGGTGAGTGACAGAGAACACACTGAAAGACAAGCTATGGGTTAACTGCTTTCCAAGATTACTTCATAACTGATCATGTTTACTGTTTTACAGACAGACTCTCAAGCTCTTATAAAAGAAAAAAACATGAACTCCAGCCAAACAATGAATCATTCTAACCCAGGTAAACTCATTCACAGACACATGCACCACTCACCAAAGAGGTTTTTGTGTGCATTGTATTATATTTTCATAAATGGCTATGGTATGTAATCATAAACTGCTTGTGCTTCACTATACCATACCATCTGTAGAAACAAGGTTGCATGCATGCAACCAGAGAAGACTTGTCCAGACTCCTCCGGTGTCATCATTTGCCAGTGACTCTACAGATTCCTCTGCACATAATCTTGTACCACTAGTGGGTGGTGCTCAAAGTGGTTTGGATGCAGTTTCGTATGCTCCACAAGAAGATAGAGACAAATCTGGAAGACCAACCCACAGTGCAGGGGCCACTTACTACCGTAACGCCTTAGACCTTCCCAAGCCAGCAGGTAAATATAGCAATATCACTTGGCAAATATTGTGGAATTGGGGAACTGGTTTATTGTTTGCTTTTAGATATAAAGTGTGTCTCTACAAATATACAGCATTCATTTTTATTCCATGCACTATGATATTTGGTGTATCTTGAACACAACTCTGTGTAATGTTAATGTCAGGTGGTTCTGGAGGACTTAAGTACAACACAGTCCTTGGTTTTCCCTTCACTCAGTTGCCTCATGACAGTTTTGCATCCAGTTTTCAACGAATCGACTTGGACAGGTACCTCTGGTCTCTTTTTTAATTTACAGATTAGAATTTTATCTGTGTAGCTTAGAACATGTTGGTTTAGCTATCACTGTAAAGCGGACATATGATTGGCATGTCATGTCTATGTATGCATGTATGAATCTCTATGTATCTTTACTACCAGTATCTTTCATATTCTTGTGTCATTCCTGTTCCATTAAGTTTTGTTGATTTTATGAACTCAGTCTGGCTGTCACAGTTTTTGCAGCAGAAGTAATGAGTTTGCCTGAAATGGCAAGTGCTTCACATTGCCACCAGGGTGCAGCAAAGTCTCTTAAAAATACTCACCCTTGTCTCCAAAGATAAGTGGCTGCTGACAAAGGTCTACTTCACTGGTGACAGAGCAGAAATAAATCAATCAATATGCATAGTGAAATATTAACAACAATTTGCATCACTGAATGGCATGGCTTGAAGGTGATGTCATGTTTTATTAAGCGCTGAACTGTATTCATCCATATAAAGACCTATTTGTGCTAAATGTTCTTTTATTTTCCAGGCGCTATCTTGAGGAATGCCCCCAGCTGGGCGATATGGATGAACTACAGCTTCTCAACCTTCAGCACAATCTAATCACAATGATCCAGCATCTGTCACATCTGCAACAGCTTGTTTTCCTGAACTTGTATGACAATCACATCTCTGAAATGACTGGTATTGAAACCCTACGCTCTCTTAGGATCCTTATGCTGGGGAAGAACAGGTAAGTTGTCATCAGTGGATTCACAAGCAAACAAACTCAAGACTATGTTACATTTGTCTGAATTGCCTCTGCTACACCGATAGTATTGTGTAGCATAAAATTGGGGTAGTAACACAAAAGTTGCAGAGTACAATAAGTGACAGTGTCAAATGAAATATTGTTCTGATCTAGTATAAATGTTGCTTTTAGGTTATTCAAGAAGTGTTGTCTGCATGTAGCATTTGTACATTTGATATACTAGCTGCTGCTACATGGTAAGCTTCAGTGATGAGTGTTTTCCTGCAGGTGCCCAGTTTAATGGGACAACTGTTTATTTTGGCATTAGTAGTTTTTGCTTCAAAAGGTCAGCAGGAGGAAGATTAAAGTCACATATCACCGCAAATGATCTTACAGACAAACACTGGAATTAGTTTCTCTTTCTGTAACTTTTGTCTGTTTAGACCTACTTCCAGGGCCATGTGTGGTTCATGAAGAGTAAAGAATACCACTGATTTAGGTTTCTATTGGCAGAGACTACAGCCTTACTCGTAATTAGATCTAAATCCATATAGACAGTCCAACAATAAGTCACTGTACACTACTGTATGTTCGGTTTCCTCAAGGAATGTAACCTTTTATAAGCTTGTGGGCCAGTCCTCTGCTTAGAACCTTTTTTGATAGACATTTATCAGCTGTTATAAACACAGAAACTGATTTATATGCAGTTAGCTCATAGCAGGCGATAATATCGGCACATTTTTCTTATCTAGTTGAAATGCATTGTGACAGATTATTTATCATGTAGCCTCCACTTTCTCGTATTTATGTCACTTCTTCCTGATACTTCTCAGAATCCGTAAGATATGCTGCCTGGAAAGTCTGTCCAAACTGAATATCCTGGATTTGCATGACAATCAGGTACTGTTTCTCCACTATCCTCCTACTTACAGCATGTGTTTTTAGTCTTGTTCATTTAGTTGCCGATACTGTAGCTGGACATCGTGATTTTCAGCTGCAAAGTTCAAAGAAGTGGATTGCCTCTTCCACCTCCTCCACACTGTGGCTAACTAGTGGTTTGCTACGTGAGATGCAGCTTTCTAAATGCTAGAGTCACACAGACATGACAGTAGGAGGCCAGGCATGAGAATTCATGTACTCATGCTCATCCGAAACCCTTCATCTGAATCCACTGGCCTATAAAATGATAGATGTCTATTCAGGGTGGACTTTTACAGCCAAATTGTCCACTTATCACTGTGTCTTCAATAGAATTAGAAACAAATAGGTCATGTCTAGCATTCTTTTGTCCGTTTCACATTTTGTTCTCAAGTCAGAAATGGGTGTTACGATCATCATGTACCTCAGTTTTTAGGGACTGAATTTCGACATTTGTTTTAGTTCCCAGCACTATTAGAGAACAAAGCAATGAAAACCATCAGAACCCACAAGCTCTTGTCAACGGTCTACTCCCACATCCATGTCCTCAGTGACCCTACTTAATTTATTCACCAGGCACAACTGTTTCTATGTTTTCAGCTTTGGGACTGGTTATGAGCAGAATTAGTGCACATTCTGCTATTCTTCAATTAATTTGAGTCTATTTATGGGGGGCTGTTTGTTCAGCCTCTACAATAGAGTGTGGCTCACTGATATTAAAAGCCTGAGAAATCATATGATGTAAGTAACACTGATGTCAGATGAGGATTTAAGCTGCTCCTGGAGAAGGAAGATAGAATAGAGAGGCTTCCCTTGGTCAAATTAGTGTTTTGCCAGCATGCCGCCTACTCTCCTCCTCAGAGAGCTACTCCAGAGCCCTGGTAAGACTCCCTCCCTCTCAGATGTTCTTTGCATGAGCAGGCTTCCCAATTACTATTCAGTGACTGCTACAGTCTCATGTTATTTTTCATGACAGAGGACGCTTTGTTGCCTTAAGCTTTGTCCATTCCGTTTCCTAACGACATCTGTACAGTTCATTCATTAAAAATTTCTGATATTGTGACAATTGTATGAGGGACTTCAGAATGAATTAATAAATGGAATCTTTGGTGGTGTCCTTGTTGGTAATGAGAGCGCATTGCATTCAGAGCTAGCCTTTTGTTGGCAGGCGCCTATTAAGGAGCAGGTGAAAAATCTATTATTCCATCCCGGGCAGGTTGCTTTTCACTCACTGACTTCAAAACCTCCTGTTTTGTGCACTTAAAAACCTCTTCAATCACCTTTATTCAACATTTTCCAAACCCACCAGAGACCTGACCACACAAATGTAATGTGAATTGTTGCACAATGATGATACAAGATGATGAAATGAGTGAAGTCAGCGAGGGAATTAATGCATAAAGAATTCAAATAATGTTAGTCATGGTTATTCTACCTATCACGTTGTTGTTTAGTCACTATTGGCTATAGAACACCAGCTGCTTGTCCCCTTTCCTTTTGTGTGCATGGATGCTTTAACCACAAACAGTACATCACTGTCATCCTTTCTAGCTCCCATCCTCTAGCTGGGAGGCTCACATCACTCCCAACCCAAACTTTTTACCCATTTATTTCTATAACAGGATGTTGTTTCACTTCCAGTTTGCTGGAACTATTAAAAAGGAGATATTCTCTTTGGGAGTGTGCATCCAACCCACACTTGGTCTCAGTGACCGAACGTTAGGGCTACAATGCGACCTGACATTGTTGGATAACCAGTCTATAGTTAGGCAGTGATGTTTTCCACTGAAAAACTATTTGACTTGAAAACTCACAAAAGACAGTGAAGAATCCCCTACAGGCTCTGTAAAACAAAGACTAAGTATCACAGAGTAAGATGGGTTGGTTTAGGTCATGTCCCTCCTACAAGTCAAGATGATGATGATGATTTTGATTTAGTCTGACTGAATCTGCATAACACTCTGGGTTAGGGTGAAGCTGGAATAGAAACTGCTCTCTGAGGATGCTCAAAGCTTTGTTGTCATTAATGACACACAAGGTTATCTGTGTTTGTGTCCACTTCTTTGACAATACAGGCCATTGTATGAAATGTTTAAGATGTGTTTTGATATTTGAACCAGAAATCTGTCACAAGCCGGCCTCTCTAACCTTTTAGGTACCATTGTCCTGTTAGCGTGTGATGATCGCGTGTTGATTGAAAGTATTCATGTCAGCTGTGACACAACAATACAACTATTGTAAAGGTCTTTGAATGCAGGGGATCTCCCTCTGTTGTATTCATCACCAGGTGAGACTGCTTAAAGGTGGGGTTTGGGATGGATTAGATGCACTCAGTTTATTCTCATTTTCATTTAACTATGTTGTCACTTGTATATGCACACCCACTATCAGTACACTTGGACAAATCTGAGCCAGCACCGTATAAATGACACTTCTTATCCCACGTGTATCCCTCATGAAGTGTGTAAAATTCTCTCTATGGCAAATATTCCTAAACTACTATTCATTTGTATTCCAGCCAGAGTACAGACTAGGACCAGAAGCTAGGCACATATGACTCCTCATGTTACAGTGGTTCCCTGTAGGTTTGTGTATTGATTTTAAAATCTTTGGAGTTTTTTTTTACGTGTGTGAACCTGTGAGATCTCTCACCATCTGGGAGTGTCAAATGCCCAGAAATGTTTGCAGAGCCTGCTTTCCAAAATAGTTATCTTCGGAACAGCAGAGCTGAGGTAAGTGACAACGGACAAGCTGAAAACCCATCCCATCTTGATTCTTATCTTTATCTATATTTCTAAACTACTTTTTTATTTAATTATTAGATACATTTTTATCCCATGTAATACCCATATGCTGCAGTGATCCTTGGGTATTACATTTTGACAGAATCCTTGAATCCCAGATGCCCTTTAACCTTGTCCTCACATGTACAGTGTGCACTATAGGGGGCAAACACATCATTCTCAAGGCCACCGGGAATTCTTGTGAAATATTTTAAGTATTTATGACAGGGGCCCATGAGTCTTTTCTCACAGAGAGAGGAGGGGAGAAAACTGGGTATCATTTCACACAACTTTTTATGATTTGGGAGGTCAAACAGGAGTCATGGCTTGATGTGACTGACTGCATATCAGTTGTTCACAAGTGATACAAATTGCTGGCGTGAAATAGTTCAAGTGGAAATGTCATTTCTGTTTTAGTGTCATTCTGCAGAAGGTGTAGCCTCAGGCATTGCAAAGAAAAAAGAACACAAGGCTTTTTGGCTTTCTTGTTCCCCAAAAACATTTAGCTGTGCAGGCCAAAGCACATTAAATAGATGATCTTTAAATACCTGATTTGAATGCAAGAGTGAGCACTGAATGTGTTCTGCGCTGCTAGCCCTATCTCCCTCTGTGTCTCTTTATGTTGAATCTGATTGTCTAGATTGCCATTTAACATAATTTTATGTTACGCATCTTTGTCTCGCTGTGCTTACATCCAGATCTCCAGGATAGAAAACATGTCTCACCTGAGCGAGCTGCGAGTGTTGAACCTGGCAGGAAACAACATCTCCAGAGTGGAAAACCTGCAGGGCCTGGACTGTTTGACTGAACTCAACCTACGACACAATTGCATCTCTGTTGTGGTGAGGGGCCTCTTTCCCAATGAGCGACAGGTTAAAGCATTTTATTCACTGCGTGCTATTCTACTCCTTCATATAAAGGAAAAGGTACCAACTGTTCACAGCGATCACAATCTGATTTTCAACCAAGAACGAAGTTTCTGCCCTTCCCATTTGTGAGCCTTCTATTTCAAGTTAGAAATATTAAACAATTGTTAATAGATATCCGAAGAAGAAAGAGAAGGAGAAGAAGGAGGAGAAGGTAGTAAGATAATTGTGGGAAACAGTAGCTGCACACTTGAAAAGATAATATGCAGACTTCCTGAGCTGGTGAAGTTCCTGCAGCTGCCAATGGTAAATTCATAGTATTATTTTCTGCATTTAGATGAACAAATAAACACTTATGCACTTGTTTATGCACTATGTTCTTCATAGGATGAAAGTGCTAGTAGCTTCCTTATCTTTCATCTGGATGTCATTCCTTTTGACCTGGTCCTTTGGATGGTTATTGTTTCCCCTGTTGTGGGATCAAATGTAGCAGTTTTTACTGTCACAAAATAGCAAACACAGAAATTACATCAATAGAATCTTTGTAAGATAGTCTGTGGTGAAATGTATCTCAATGGTGTTACCTAGGGAGACGTAGGTCATTACCCACAACCTCCCACCGACTTTTTGGCGCAGTGGAAGAGGAACTGGATGTTCTAAACATGGAAATTCACTCCCCTTGGTTTCTATAGTTTTAATCTGATAAACAGAACACTGCATACCACTTCATTTGTATGCAAATCCCCCAAGCCCTCTCCTGCTTTTTGGGCTAGAAAATAAACACGGAATCCAACATTGTGTATGAAACCTCTTCTTGTCACTCATCCTGTCCTCTGCCGGCAAGTTCTGATCACGAACCACTTCCAGTCCCAATTACCGGATGTAATGTTTTATTTGATACACAGGAAAGGAAAACTGCTAGCCCTCAGCAGATTCTCTAGTCTCTGTCATTAGTGGTATTTGCTGGCATGTGCTTGTGTCAGGCACAAAGTAAATAAGCATCCCCCAGGTGTCCAGGTTTTCCCTTTCATTAAAGGCAGATGAAAAGTGGAATTCTGGACTAGAAAAAAATGCTGTGAGTGACTTATAATAAGATTTGTGTATATGTTAGGCTCAGTCATCCAATACATATTATATTAGCATACTGTGTGTTAAATATGCTTACTTTATCTTAAGTTAATGTTTTTAGGAAAGTGTATGCTTTTACATGTGTTGACATATCAGGACAGTATTTAGGTCATCCTTTAATGCATCTAAACATGTATTTTTGATACTACAATTGAAAATGTAAAAAATTGCGTGTGTGTGTGCGTGTAGCTTGTTTTGCTATGTTCGTGGTTTAAAAAATTCGGGATTCCACTATACTTGTGAGGTCCGACGGCTTTGTGGGGACCAAAATGCTGGGCTCCACAAGTTTAAAGGGTTTTTTGAGGGTCAAGACTTGGTTTTAGGGTTCACATTAGAAATAAATAAGAAATTAACGTGCTGCCTTAAAGCACTGTGGAAAATACTAATATTAAAACTTGAACGATCAAAAACAGAATCAACACAAATACTAAAATGAGGATTTTTGCAATGCCCAAGTCCTCAGAATGTGAAGTTAAAGGGAAATGAGCAAGCTAACTATTAAGTGATACCTGCGAAGTGCCGTGCAATAACAACAGAGCAATGACCACTTAACACCAGATTGCAGTCTTGCACATAATGCACAGCACCTGCAGTTCTAGCATACAGTACCTGAGGCCAGATGTATGTCATCAAAGAGCAGCCACAAAACCCAACAGCTTACAGTCTTTGAAATCCCCTCAGCATCCACATGTACCTGTGTGTTTGTTTGAGCAGCTTTCATGCCCTTGTTGCTCATGTTTTTGCATGCAACCGAGACAGTGGTGATGAGAAGTAGTTCTATGTTTGTGGAGTAATGCCTCTGCCAGAGCTCAGTATGAGTGTGAAAAATGAAGACATGCAAACTGTCAGTGAGAAGAGGGCGGAGGCACACAGACACATAAAAGCATACCGCTGCACACACACAGCTGTACCCAACCTCACAGCTGATTGGTTCTGATCAATCGTTTTTTTGTTTGTTTTTTTTGTTTTTTTGAAAAATAGACCACATTGGTGGGCGATTGTTGTGCAGCACATCAGCTCAGTGATGACGACATTCTGTCTGAGACAGGGCTGCTATATTTAGTCTCTGACAGTGTGCAGTGGCTGCTGCTTCACCAGCATCCATACAGGAACTGGCACAGACAGAGACTCTGGGAGTGTGGTGGAGGGTCAGCAGAAGCTAGCATTGTATAGCATGAGTTGCAGTTTTTCAAGAGAAGGAAAGAGAACACACCCAACAGTGAAGCATCACACAGCATCTATAACTAAAATGCACCTTCATAGTCTTTAATGCAAATAATGTAAAATAATCAATGTTCAATATGCAGTCATAAGAATCATAATTTGTTTCTCCATACATCAGAAATAACTGCTCATGAGTGATTTTGTTTTACCACTAGGGAGCAATAAGCCTGGATTATCAAGTGCTCAAGGATAGCATATTTGCATACAGTTGACAGATTACATGTTTGGATTACATAGAACAACACGATCATCCCATTTTAGTTGTGTTTCAAACCACCTGACAAATGTTAAGTCCAACATTCACTTGTCAAATAAATGTCTGGTTTGCTTTGGCATGCTAGATGTTCAGCTTTCACTCACATACCTTTTCTCGCCACCATTTTAAGATGGACAGGTACTGTCGCTTAGTGGAGCTGGGAAAACATGACATTCCTGTCATATTGCAAAGTAACCCTTTCTACTTTATCAGTTATTATGTGCAAATAGTACTTAGCTTGTTTTTGTTGTCTGATAATGTAGAGAAAAAAAGGTCAGAGAGTAAAATGTGTTTAAAGTGCACAGCCACTGATACACTAAACTCAGTTCTCATATGCAAAATAGTTTGCATGATTCTCATTCAGTGTTGTGTCAGAGATATGCTCGCTATGTTTCGCCAAATAAATGACTAATTAAGAAAACCCTTTAGAAGATTAACTGAAAAATATTGGGGGAAAGGTAGGCAGTCCAGATCATGAAAAGGTCAGCAGGATGTCTGCAGATTGGAAAGAGACTGAAATATACAGTGAAAGGTGAGATATCACTCACTGTGTGCTAGCTTGTTGAAAGAATTCCATGGCTCACATATAATAAATGATGAAACTCTCTATACTGTGTATTACATTTTCACAGAAGAGTCACAGGTAAAATATTTTATCTCATTAAGTCCACAGATTGAGCATCAAATAATGTAGCACAACAACCACTCTTATAAACAAACTGCTGATGTTGCATATTGTACTATAGTGAGCATTTTGGCCGTTGGAATGGATGAAACAAGGATGAGCAACTGTGTATAACTATATTTATATGGTGATGTGGACGGGGGTTGTACGACTTTGTAGATGATGAGACTATGTGCTGCAGTATTGTACTGTATTCTGCAGATGAGCTAGCATAGCTAAATGATAGATGGTCTCTCATTTGAACAGTTCTGGAGGCTGCGAGGCGGTGGCTTCAGTATGGGCGGACGCTGACGCAGTGTCATTCAGATTGCTGCTGGGAGTGTCCTACTGGCTACCAGCATGTGCAATACTGGCCATCAACACACACACACACACACACACACACACACACACACAGCTTGACACTACTGAACATGATATCCTCCATCTGATTAGCTTAGCTTGTGACATTGGCTATGTTCCTACATATCCTCTTTAGCTTGCAAGCTGGCCAGCTGCTGCTCCTCACCCCGCCCCATCTCTAAATTCTGCATTGATTTTGATGCTGAGCCTGCTTGATGAAAAAAACCCCATCCCAGTCTTTCCACTGAATTTTGCCCAGCTATTGTTCTTGTGTGACGAGGTACAGTTGCTAGCTGCTCATAGTGAGTGTATTTGTTCTGGTGAGAGTTAGCCTCCTGCAGCAGGGGATCTCTGCAGTAGCGCAGCACACGATCCGCTATCTCTCCCCTCCCCCTTTCCTCTTCAGACTCTCACTCTCTCTCTCCTGCCCCTCCTCTCCATGTGCAGACAAGGCAGCATGCTGTATGTGTGTGTGTGCATGGGCAGGGTGGATGGGGATGCTGTATACTGGAGCTGAGAACTGCAAGGTGACTGAGGGAATGGAGAGGGATACAGAGCTCTGACGACAGTGACGATGCAGTGCCCTCTTCCCGAGCACCTTCTCCTCTTCACATCCCTCCATCTCTCTTTCTTCCCTCTCCCTCTTTCTCTTTTTAGACTAAGGTGGACCGCCTGCCCTGCTTGCAGCGCCTCTTTCTCAGCTGTAACAACATCACCAGGTAAGAGCTTGTACCGCTTAACTCCCTCCTCCCCACAGGACAGGGACAGGGGATAGTGGCTGGACAGGCATAGTGGCTGGACAGTTCCACATCCACTCCCTTGGCTCTTGGCAGAGCCTGGCCAACAAGCTGCAGGCAGAATACACACAAACATGTGCGCACACACATACACACTTTTTCCAAAATCTGTAGTCTGTCTTTATTCTTTGCTTGTCCCTCTCTGAGCCCAGCAATGAAGATGTCAAAGAAGCATAGCTTTCTAACTGAATAAGGCTGTTTAAAATTGCTTTGTGTTTGCCTGGAGGAGGGGCCTGTATGTTGGATTCAGGGTGGGATAGTGTTCATTAGCCTCCTTCACCATAGTCACCTTGTGCTGTGACAGATCTGACCTGACTTCTCAAGCCAGCACTGCTGTTCTGGTGTCTGCGTGATTCTGTGTCTGACACAGTTACAGAGTGAATCATGACATAGAAATAGGTAACAGGTAATCAGTTTGTACTCTTAAACCCCTTTTTTCCATTTAGGGTGACACTGCATTCTAAGTACAGTGTGGTAAAGGCAAATTAAAGATACTCCTTTGAATGGATGCACACTGTGCCAGAGTATAAACTTGTGTGTCTACCCTTTGAAACTGTTCAATGCTGATAGGAGAACGGTTGTGCTCTGTTGCTAGGTAAAGGGACAGAACACACTCGTCTACATGGTGCAGTCAGTTTGACCAGTAGAGGATGTTGAAGCAAAAAGAATCCCACATGTTTACGATTATTTCACTTTTCATAATTTTGCAATTTTGACTATACCTGCCTGAATTAAGTTTGACACCTTATATGTGGAGGAAATGAACCTAAAAATGAAAGCTCAATTAAGAAAACGGCGCTGGGATTGTAGTGCTAAATGACTTTGGAAAATACACAATTTTCATCCTCGCCCCACTCTGCACACACATCACACAGGTGCATGTAGACTTTCCATTACTGTGACTATTTATAGAGCGGTTCTATAAAATCATGCATGAGATGCAATCAAGCATCATTGGGATCTCTTAAATAGTCTCTCATAATCACTGTGGAAAAAAATCCCTCTTTGTTATTGCTAGAATATAACTTACTCCATTAAGTATGTAATGACACAAAGTATTGTATAAGCATGGGGATTAAAAACGAATGAAAATGCCAGGTTACAGGTTACTGCATGTATAGACTGACCCACAGTATATCCACGCTATGCTCCTGTGCATTAGAGCCGTCTAGCTGTGGCAACTGAGAGTAGAAAAATTCCAATTTCTCAAATTATTTCTCTTCCCTGACTACCCCTAATGAAATGTGAATTGTAGCTTTGCATCTGTTTGAACTTCAACAGTACTTTCTGTAATAGTTCATGAGAGGTTATTATCTGACCCCCTTTTCCACCCAAATAAACCTCTGGCTAGGATCAGGCACAGTGCAGTGTAGTAGGTTCATAAGTAGTTTCAGGCAAGTTATTTATCAAGTTTATTATTGCAAATTAGCAGTGATAAAATCTCCACTGCCTTACATAGCATGACTGTGCTTTTTCTTGTCTCCCTTTGCCACAGGGTGATATCAACAGTGTAGTAGATTTTTCTCTCTTCATTGCCCCCTGAGTAATGTCATGTGTTGTTTTAGCTTGACTCCATTCTGTCAATACAGTCATAGATGAAAGAGTTCAAGATTCAAAAAATAGATGGGGTAAGTCAGGGTTCAGTATAGGGTGGTTAAGCAGCTGGATGACTCAGGCTTCCCAGTACTTAGTTAGGTCATCATGCCTCTGTATCATTGTGAAGCATTCAGTGTACCGTGTTTTTGTAATGAAAATGTGTGTGTGTGTGTAGCTTTAACTCTTGATCTCATTCAATATGTTTTTTCTGTGTCTAGTTTTGATCAGCTAGCCTGCCTTGGAGAGTTGCGTTCCCTTTCTGAGCTCACCCTGGATGGGAATCCTGTAGCCCTGGAGACATGGTACAAGCAGGCCGTCCTGCGCTGTGTGCTTCATCTGAGACAGCTGGACATGAAGCGCATCACAGTAAGGCTGAACTGTTTAACTGTGTCTGTGTGTGTTTGGCCAAATGCTGCTAATTCTAGTTGTAACTGTTGGATTTTTTTGTTAAATTTAGGTTATTGTCCCTTCAGATAATTTTTCTTTATTTCTACACATTTTGAACAGTGAGTCACATGACCAGAATGGGAAATCATGTGACAGTTTTATAATGCTGTATTGCCATTATCAAACATATTAAACAGCAAAGAGGATGATTTGATGATTTTAACTTAAAGCTATAACACCCTCACAGCTCATGACTGAGCTGTACTTACAAACTATGTCATATTTTGTGTCCTTTATGTCACTGTCTGAGCACACGTTCCTGAAGGCTCTGCACATGTTGATTCTTGAGCATGACTTGACATAAACATGATTGATGATAAACTTGATGATTTCACAGTTCTAAACAAACTTTCGATGAACCCACATGGGCAGTCTCCTGTTCACTGCCAATGGGGCATCTCCAAGCTCCTCTTCACAATGCTATACTCCTTAGTCTTTGTTCTTTCACATTGGTGCAGCATTCATCATGTTCTCTGTAGCTTATTAGAGGCAGAAATTAATTGTTGACTAAACTAAAAGCTAAGCATTTACAACAAACACAATGCATATCCAGTCTAACAAAACAATGATTATTCTCAGACATAAATATGAAGTCAATGTATGAATATAGCATGCCAGCAAAGTGCTACAGTGAAATATCAGCATGCTTTTAGAGGCTGTCAAGCAGGGAGCACCCAGGTCTGAGCTTGTACTTTAAAGGAATCTGCAAGTACCACACACCTTGCCCTCAGAACATACTGCTGATACTTTGGGAGAAAAAAAGCCCATGTAACTCCAATTTCAACAATTTTCATGTTTTTACATGATTTTCAAGCTACATGTGGTCCTTAACCGTTTAGGCAAGTTTCATGATCTCCAGGGCCTATTAAACCCCTCCAACAAACTACTGTCTGTAGCTGTCAATCCTGAAAACAGGGATGGTGTTTTATTTCCAGAAAGTATACTTCTGGGGGATGCAATGTTTTGATTTGACAACAACAACAGCCTAGGAATTGAGTTTCCTTTTCAAACCGCATCAGATATTGCTAGGGGCAATCTTCATAGTAGCCATTAAAGATCTAGATTTTCCCCTCCAACTGATTTGGAAAAACTTGCCACAGTGCACTATGCTGTCAGTAGAAGTGAGATCATATTATCTGAGGTAAAATCTATGCCTGACTGCTGGCAGATTGTCCATTATTTATGAATGAAATGAGAGTTAATACTGCAAATGAGGAGATACAATACTATTGTTCTCTTTGGGGTAAATTATGTTGCTTGTGGGAATATATTTATAATAATAAAAGAAGTTCAAACAAGACACATACAGTAGACTGAAACTGTCTTTGACTAAAGATATTATCACTCGGCTTATAGTCATTGTATTTTATTGACTAATAAAATGTATAATCCCACTCTGATTATAATATATTTAATATGGCTAATGTTGAAGAAAATATTGTGAGCCAGGTTCAGGTGTGAAGAAGTTTCAGAGACTGATGAAGACTTAACATAGCATGATTTATTGAGCCCGGCCAAGGAGATACAGTGCCAGCATGCAACATGTGAACACGTCAAATGCCAGCACCAAATCTGAAGGATAACGTCTTTTGGTCCCTTTTATGTTGTATGTATGTCTTCCCCCTAGTGCCTGTAGGTTTCTCTATTAGGTCATCTTTAACTGGCCTTAAACTAGAACAACAAATCTATCGGATCTGATGTTTAGACTCCAATGCTTCGTCATATTGGAATCTATCACTATCCATGAGTTGTACTCTAATCTGTGGAGCCAGTGAGTTCTTGTAAATATTCTTGTAGGACTCAACCTTGTAAGATTCCCAGAGAACACTGATATCTGCCAGCCTGATGCCTGAGCTACTGTCAATAACTAAATCAGTCTATTGTTGTCTCCCTGACAAGGACAAATACATGTGAGAAATACCTAAAGTTAGAATGTCAGAAAAGGCTTATGGAGTCAGCTAAATTACTGTAAGCTAGACCTGTCTTACCTTTCCCTGTTAACATCAACAAAGCCCCTTAAGAAATATTCTCAACAGCTAATAGATCTTCTATATCAAAGACAACTATTATGGTATTTTATATATTGTGTATATATATTTTTTTCAGCAAATAACTTCAAATTGTATAATTTCATTATTAAACTGGAAATATTGTTGTTTACTGAAACCTTTCAGCCAAATAATCAAGATAACAGTCTATGTGGAGGCTGCCCAAACAAAGACATTGTTATTTCTGAAAAATAGCACCCTTTGGAATCAATAAGATATTGATTAATTTCACAGAGTAGCTGTTCTTCTCACAAAATTAGTTTAAAGTAGTGACATACAAGCCTGGCATCTTAATCTGTTTCCACTAGCTAACATCAGTGCCTTGACTCCTGTGAGGCTAGCATTTGCCTCTATTGATCAGACTGAAGTATCGTCTCTGCTAGCTCGTCACAGGCAACTGAATATCTCCCAGCTCAGATTGTGATGGCAGCATTGCATTCTGGGAGTTTTGGCTTTCCCCAACAGCTGGGCTCTGTTGATCTGAAACTGAAAATCAGACAGATAATCCTGTGATGCAGCCGGCTGGTGTGAGAATCTCTCCCATCCTCCACAGTGGTCCAGTTCTGGTGTAGAGAACAGTCTTTCTGACGGCGTCTTTTGTGGTTCCCCTCTCTCTTGAATAATTCAGAACTCATGAATGGAACGGCACTCTGATTGCACAAGCTATCTTTTTCAGGACGAGGATCGGCGCATGGCTGGTGTACAGGCTCGAAAAGAGGAGGAGAAGAAGAGGGAGAGTCACAAACAGACTATTCATAAGGTACCACTCTGATCTGAATTGCTGTAGTTGTCATTGTCTGCCTGGATTTACCTTTTAAATATGCAGCAAGTACACGTGACGGCCTACATCTCAGAGAGTAGATTAACAAGTGTTAGTTATTCTTGGTAGAAAGAACATAATTAGTTGCAAAGGTTCAAAGTACTGGACGGAGCTACACACATTATCATTCTAAAACTACCACGTTATTAACAGTGTTTTATGCATGAGCTGAATGTTATACTGTATGTGCTTTAGTTTGAATCCAGTGTTTTATAGTATAAGGCAGCAGCAGGCCATTATAATATGGGATCCAGGTTAAAGCCAAGATTAAGTGTGTATTTGGACAATAATCAGAATCAGAATCAGACTCATAAATACTTGATTGATCAAACTCTGTGTCACATTTGCACACATTAAACATCATGGTAAAAGGAATATAAATAATAATAGAAAGTTGGTATATAAAGATGTATATAAATATCAGATTAAAATAGTAGCAGAAGTAGCACAAGAGTATTGCACATTTAATATTTAAACAGTTATTATTGCACAACACAGATAATAATGTCAAATGTAAATGCTCCGTACTTGTATAGCGTCTTTCTAGTCTTTTCGACCACTCAAAGCGCTTTTACACTACATCTGCATTCACCATTCACACACATTCATACACTGAGCCTAAGTGCTCAAACGGAAACTAACATTCACACACATTCATACACTGGCGGAACAGCCACCAGGGGCAAATCGGGGTTCAGTATCTTGCCTAAGGACACTTCGACACGCAACCAGGGGGAGCCAGGGATTGAACCGCCGACCTTCCGATTAACGGCCAACCCGCTCTACCCAATGTCCAGTTTAATAACTAAGTGTCCATGTGTCAGACATTGCCACAGGCAGGAATGACTTCCTGTGGCATTCTGTGGTGCATTTTGGGGGGATGAGTCTTGCACTGAAAGTGCTCCTGTGTTTGAGCAGCACGTCATGGTGTGGGTGGGAGACACTGTCCAAGATGACATGCAGCTTGGACAGCATCCTCCTAACTGACACCACCGGTAGAGACCCAGCTCCACCCCCACAACGTCACTGGCCTTGCAAATCAGTTTGTTGAGCCTGTTGGCGTCCGCTACCCTCAACTTGCTGCCCCAGCATGCTATAGCGAACAGGATAGCACTGGCCACCACAGACTCATAAAGCATCCTCAGCATTGTCTGAGCCTCCTCAGAAAATAGAGACTGCTTTGGCCCTTGCTGTAAAGGGCTTGAGTGTTCTTGGCCCAGTCCAGTTTAATTATCTATTATCTATTATTATATTATGTGCACGCCCAGGTATTTGTAGTCCTCCACAATGTCCACAAACCTGGCTTTGCGAATGACAGGACACAAACCTCTTAATGGTACTTTTTATCAGCTTGCCCATTAAAATATATGTAATGCCAAACCTATAAAATGTTCAAATCTTTCTCCCTCATGTCACGTGTCTTTTATCATATGTGCTTGTGATTATTGAGGATGTGTTTTAGTGCAACATTAAATACAGTATTAGATGTTGAAATGGACATTCAACTTTTCAAATGTATCCACATCACTACTACATAACACAGCAAGTGCCCATTGGTAACATTCTTACTGTATGGGGAGGGATACACTGTCCACAGAGGTACTGTATCTGTAAATGGGTCTGTAAATTATACTTTATTTCTTTAAATTGTCTTGCACAGGCATCGGTTTTATCTGTGTGTGTGAGTGTGCGTGCATGTGTGAGAAAGTATATATGCTGATGTCCTCCTGCAGTGTCTGCACTGCAGTGGTTGCTCTTGCTGAGAGATGGTCCCTGTGCGGAACACATAGACAATGTAACCTAACTCCAGCTAATCCCTGGTGTTGAGACAATGTTATATTGAATGCCGAAACCAAGAATTCGTAAGGGCAAAGGATTCACTATGAATTGGTACTGACTCACCCCTGCATTGGGGAGTGGCACATTCCATAACTGAGCAGATCGAAACTACTGCTTGGCCAAGGAAATCTTCTCTCTTACAGGGTAGGGATGTCACTTTTACTGCTGTAAGAGCCAACTGCATTTAAATCACAATGCTGTGGTAACAGAAGCAAATGAAATGGACCAACACATGCATATACAATTTCAGATCAAACTTTAGTGAAGTGTGATATCTGCCAGTAAGCAGTTTTCATACTGTCTTCAACAACATACTATATCTCAGAGACAAGCAAGACATTTGCCTGTGATTATGTAAAGATAGACAGAGGTTCCATTAGCTTATTATGCCCTCTGTGTTTTGCCTAAGAAGATTTGTCATTTGAAACCTTCTCTGTCCTTTGTTTGTGTGTGTTTCGTTCATCAAGGAGAAGCGGCGTCTGGCGATCCGTAATGCAGCGCAGCAGTGGGAGGGCGTCAGGGCCTGCCTGGAGCCGCCACCAACAAATGGTGCCAAAGAAGAACTTAGTCCAGAGAACAGCCCTGTCCACAGCCCTGCCCAGACCAATGGCCTCACACAGGAGCCTTCTCCAGATGAACCCAGGTACACGCCACATCAGCAGAACATTTAAGTCACTTAAACTGAACTTTACTGATATATTGGCCTTTTTAGGCTATGGATTACAGTGTTTGTCAGTTGGTTTGTTGGTCCACCACTTGGGTGATTTGACATTTCCTATAGCACCACCATGAGGTTTACATTTGGGTTTTTTAGTGCAATGTCTCCATGAAATTTGGTACAGACATTAATGCCCCCCTGAGGATGAATTGCAATAACTTTGATGGTGCCAAATACCTGCAAAGCTAATATCTCAGCTGTACTTTGTGTTTAGTGCCAATTAGTTAATGTTAGCATGCTGACATGGTAAACTGATATGGTGTACATGGTAAACATTATACCAGTTTAACATCAGCATTCAGCAGTTAGCAGTTAACAGCACCGTGCCTATAAACAGCATCACAGAGCAGTTAGAATGGCTGAAGGATCTGTTATTATATATTTGATATTTGTCAATTACATCAAGAATGAGAAATGAAAATGTTATTTAATTTGCTCAGTTTCTCAAGCTGCTGTTAAATTAAGTGTTTATTTAGTTAGGCATTGTCAGATATTTATGGTGAGATTTCATGCTGGAGGGAATAAAATTGTGAAGGATTCAGTAAATATTTTTATACAGTATGTCAAAATGACAAACACTACAACAGTCTTATTTAGTTTTGGTTAGTCTGTACATAATGTAGCTCAGATGGGATCCCGAAAACATGAGGAATGAATGTATCTTGGTGTTTGAATTCCAGGAGGTTTGATTTTTACAGTATTCATGAGTCTCCTCTCCTGACCATTGGAAGGGAAAATCCAGTCTGAGGCCTTGGTTGGGAAATGATGTTGGGCATGGAATATCCGTTATATATTCAATTGTAACCCTTCAGAGCTGTTGGCAGACTCATCTGGGTTGATAATTCTAAACCAGTCTCATGTTTGCAGTAACTGTCTACATATGTTTGTGATTCAGCTGATTTCAAAATTGGTTTGGATTTTAAAATCCCTCTAATATGAGCCTGGCTTTACAGACTTGCTTCTCCTTCATCTGAGAGGGTTCTGAAAAGAATTGTTTTCTCTTTATCAGGCGGGTAAGCCCAGGCTCAGGACCAGAACGACCATCAGGTGGAACAGAGAGCAGACTCCGCACCAACAGCCGTCCCAACAGCCCGCGAGATCCCAAGTAAGACAAAAATGCATGTGTGTCTACATCCACTCTGCCATATACGTTTACATAAAGTCAAAGAAGGAAAAAAAATAAATAAATAAAGAGTCACCCACCCCAGGTAACTAGTAACTTTATGAAATACAAACTGATTATAGATTTTATGAGTTCTGTTTGTCAGAATCAGCCACCTGGCTGAATGCTGGAAACAGAGGTTTGGACCCAAAATGCAGACACAGAGCAGCTACTGGTGAGTAAGGGAGGTTTATTGCAGCACAGGGTGAAACTTACAGGTGAGGTGGTAAAGCAGTCCAAAACACAACCGGTGAATAATTCTACTGAAAGTAAATCCAAAGTAATCCACAAAAGCACAGACAAGGCACTGGAGAATTCTGGCATGGAAAACAATGAACTGGCAAGGGGTGATAGAAAGACAACCACTTAAATACACAGGTGAGGGAGAAACTAATTAGACACAGGTGAACCCACTGAAACGATCAGAGACAAGCACAGGAAGTAAAACATGACAACACACACTAGGAGCAGACTAAACTACACAGTAAAACAGGAAGTAAAGGTACCGACAATACACCAGCATAAAAGAAACTAAATACAACAGAGAACAAGGAAACACAGATCAATATCAAAACCTAAACAAGAAAACAGAGGCAATGGATAAAACACAAAGAACATTTAACAAAATAACAGAAAAACACCACAATAAAACCCAAGACCGTGACACTGTTGGACTCCATGATAATTTACAGACTGACAAATGTATTGTAAAATCAAGTAAAGGATCTGGTTACACAAATTGTAAAAAACAAAAACAAAACACATCTTCCCTCGTGGTATCTAGCCATGCAGATAGTTCTGGTTTTATTTGACAAGGTTTTGAGATATCTGCCATTATGACACCTCTATTGTATCAGTAGAATGGAATTTTTCTTCAGGCAATGATACATGAGGTAATTGAAAATTGGTGTACAGACAGACAGACATAGATACACAAACACACACATAATACAGCCCACTGAAGAAAGCTAACTTTGTCATTCATTGGAGAGGGTCGCTGAGCTGTGTTCACTAGCCATCAACTTGAATACTGAAATTGGCAAAACATGTAGTTATAGTGCAGAGAATAGTCTAAATAGAACATGTAGAGAGATCATCCTGGTTACAGATTGTGATCCTGGTCTGGATGAGTTATGAGGGGGAGGGCTGAGATGAAAGTGGGGGCTGTTTTAAGGACTATTATTACATGTTTCAAAGATGGCTTTTCCTTCCTGTACCAGGATATGAATATGCCCCCGAAGCAGAGTCCCTCAATGGCAATAGCTTTCCTTTACAGTGTCTATTATAATTTCAGTCATGTGGCTTAAGAGGTTATGGTGACAAACAGGACTCACACGATTCATTCTACCACACTGTTATGAGTTGGGAGTTGTATTACTTTGGCTTGCATTGAGTGGCAAAATAACAAAGGCCTTTACAAACCACAGCACCACCAGCTGAAAGAGAAGCAAGGTCTGTGACTGAAAAGTCAGAGGGTAAAATACTCAAAATGTCTGGGTATGTGTTTAGTAGGTGTGAAATTTAAAGGATGTTTTGTTCAACAGTGCATGGGTTTATTAAAGGATTATAATGCCTATACGGTGCAGCCCAGATGACCTCAGATAACTGTCCAAGTACTTGATGCTAAAGAAAATTAATCCATTCTCCCCAATGTAGAGCTTGAAGGAGCAAATATGGATGAATTTGTCTCTGTTTTTTGAGGCCTGTGAGTCAAAACTCTGGCCTCACTAGTGCTTTACATCATGCATCAGGTCCTTGGGGGTGAGAATTCCCAGGAATTACTAACAGCAGGAGGATGTTATTCTTTTGCACCCAGAAGAGACAGTATATGTTTAGTTGCAGCTATAATCCTGTTACCCCAGAATCTCAACAGATTCTTGGTTTCCCATTTAGTTCAGGAGCTGGACCTGGCACATCCACACATCTGGATCTGCTCAGTGGCAGCCTTGGGAGCAATGCAACCTCTTGGTGCGTGTACGTGTGTGTCTCTTCCTGAGTAACAAACTGAGGAGTGCCCTCTATTTCCTTTCTGAGAATTATCATCTCAATTAGAGACAATTTAGGTGTAAAATACAACTTTAATTGATTTAAGTTTATTAAGAACTTGAGAAATTGAGAAAAAAAGGTCTTCATAGTGTCCTTTTCATATGATGAGATCTGTTGCTATGTATTCTCATTTTTCATTCAGGATTCAGAAAATTTGCAGTGCAATTCTGAAAATAGCGTCTTTAAATATTACAAATGTGCAGACACAGAAAAAAAGGAAAAAGTTGCAAATAGTGCATTAATGATTCAATTTATTTATAGGGATGCACCGAAATGAAAATTCTTGGCTTAAGCCAAAACCGGATATAATGAAAAACACCGAACAATGTTTTTAACTTTTTTTCCCGTTTATTTTGCCTTTTTTACCATTGCATAAATTAAATTAATTAAATTAAAATATGCTTTTTACTCAGTGTTTCCCGCAGGATTTGGAAAGACTATGGTGGGTGGGTCCAAGGCCCGAGAGGGTCCAGTAAAGTAAATTACATGTGTCCATTTACTTACTAATTGACAAATTTAATGTTTTATACTTTCTGTGAATATAATCCAATTAATTTTCTTTCCATACTGTAAAGACACCTACTGTATAGACACCAAACGAGTGACTGAAACACTCAAAGCGGTTCAGACCATTTTTGGAATCTGTCAGCCACAGATGGAGTGGATGTGCTTGGAGAAAATTCAGGAGAACAGTGTCTGCAAACGGTGATTTTTGCATGTTTTTCGGGCACTTTAAAATGCGTCCACACTACAAACATTTCAACGTAATTGTTTTGTAAAATTTATTTAGTCTTATTTAGTCTTTTTACTTATTGCTATTTTTGGCCGATTAATTTCGGTTGCCAAACATCTGGGGCATCCCTATTTATTACACACATTTTTCCAGTTAATATATGTAATCAATCACCATGGCGAACAAAATGTATTTTATATCACGTATTTTTGTATCAAGGGTTAAAATTACAATGCCTCAGAAGATAGTTAAATGTGATGAAGATTAGGGAAAAAATTAACATAATGTCATATCTGGTTGGCATTTGCACCCCTTCTGTGGTGAGAAATTAGAATGAGGTTAAAGTGAATGTTGACAGCACATTTAGCAGGAGTTTATTTCTGTGCAAAGAATTTAGGCTTTATTTGACCTCATTTCCCCCGAGAGATGGGAGCATGGGTTGCATGGCAGTGGAGGAGTTATTACTCAGAAATCCTAAAGTGGGGTTGGTCACCATGTGAGGAGACAGAAAGGCACTTTGTACTATTCATACATTCATTTAATTATGAGCTGTGCTGAGATCCTGAACAGGTGGTTTTGCAGGCACATAAATCAATGAGTTATCTTCACAATGGTGAGAAAGAAGTTCAGCAGCTTCCTAGAATGAAACCTGAAATTCAGAACTGCCACACACTGTTGAAACACACTTCACAGTAACAGTATGTAGGACTCAGACCCAAGTAAGCCTAACATCTGCACTGCACCACAAACTGCCACTTGAGCTATTTGTTTTCACTTTTTAACGGAGTGAAATGATGAAATGTTCTTTTGAAAAGACAGCTCAGAGAGTAATGTTTCATACGTCACTACCACACAGTATTTAGGCAATTGGAGACATGTGAATGCTACAAGCCATGTCTTGGGGGGGATTAAGTTGTTGAGAGATGACAGATGTCCTTTTTAAAACTCCTGTAGGATTAAGTGAGATAGCCCTAATTGAATTAGATTCACAGTCTAATATGCCAGAGCAGGATCGGCATAAATGTGACAGATTCTTCGCCCGGTCTTCATAGCCTTGTTCTGTTCACTCTCAGAGTTAGCTGCTGGGCTCATGGAAGAAGAGGGTCCAGGGCCACCTGGCAGCCTTTCAGCTGTGATTATGTGGGAACAATATGTGACAAAGTATATTGTTGGCACACTTCCAGGCGCACACAAGTTACTTTCATTCTTTATGTGACTTATCTACATGTTACGCTCCGTCTCCTGCGCCGCTCTCCAACTCCTCCTGATTTACTGCCTTTGGTAATCCTACATCTCGGGGCCGTGGCATATCCTGGTGATTAAACTGCTTTTCAGTGTCTGGCGCCTCCCCATCTATTGCTGGCCAAGTCCCATGTTTCTGTCCATTTGTGGGCTTACAACAGGACACACTTGGACTTTGCAACTTTAAAATGTCTTCACTACCAGGTCTGGTTTTAATACTTTAAGTATTACACCTGCTTTTAGTGCTCTTTCATTAAAATGCACATTTAAGGATCTGGAAGAGTACACTCATCTTTTAACTTATTTGCTCTTATACCTGCTTTTGTAGTTTCACTCACTGCAAGAATCCACTGTTTTGAGGCCTTTTCACATCTGTCAATGGCCATGTTGATTTAACAAGTTAGTAGTGTAACAAGGAACCAGATTAATAATTGACCTTGGGGGTTGTTGAAGGTGACCTGTCAACAGTTTTACAGACATGTGTTTTGTAATCATGGTCTTTGGAGTAAAAGCTGCAAATGCCCCACCATATCCAGTTCTCTTAGTATCTCCATGGCATGACCATCCCTCGACATTTGATGAAGAATGGCTTTCATACAGGGTGCATGGAGAATAACCTTAGGTATCATGTGAGAGTAATGTGTCTGGACAAAAATATGATGATTGAATGGAATGAATCTTGTCAGTCACTGATTTATTGGGAGGTTCAGACTGTACACGATTATTCCAGATGTTGTGTATACTGTTAAGTAATTTATTGCTTTTTTGTTAAGCTATAACTCTCGCAAAGGGTACTTTTTAAGCTAACTGAACTAATTAATAGTGACTCCAAGGCAGTCGCACCATGTACTTCTCTAGACACAGACAAGCAGACAGCACACACAGAAAGCCATGGTCTGAACTGGTCCTGCACTTTGCTGTCTCCTTAGGCAACAGCCCATTCACCTGTCTTTTACACAAGACTGAATCAGTTAAAGTGACTGAGTATCACCTACTGAGAACCTGATGTCAACATCGTGTCATGTTCCTCCTGCAGCAGCTTATACATATGATGTGGGCTTGTGGAATATTCCACTACGATTACTGGTTAGTGACTACATATCAACCATCCTCACTGTTTTCACTTTTCAAGAATACTCAACTCTCTTGTTTCTCACTTGTGACAATTTGCTGCTTTTCTTTGTTTTATGTGATAGTATATAGAGTTTCTTTGGATTGTAGACTGTTGGTGGTAAAAAAAAAAGGAATTTAAAGACTTCAGCCGTAATCAAAAGCATATTACTATGATGCACCAAACAACTCATTTCAATATGACTGGGTTGACTTTTATAAACTGTATGTAATAAACCAAAAGCTTTAATATGATATTTTTATCTTCCAAGACATTGTGTTTAAGACTTTGTATGATTTAAAAAAACCTCTTATACTATAATCTTCTTTTTTTTTGTCTAGGACAAAAACTAAAATAAGAATCACTTACTTAAAAAGTAGATCTCTGTCTCCATCTCTTTTCTTGTCTCTCTGCTGTTTTTCCTGGACCTCCTTATTTATTTGGCCAAGACTACAAGCATACATCTTACCTCATACCTCTCTCATAGCATACCTCTTATTTTGAAGATGGCCTTTAATAATACCGTAAAATTTTCTCGTAAAATCTCTGATCCCCTTTGTGCTGCTCACAAAGGACGAAACTGTTCCTCCTCCTTCTGTATAGAGAGGAGTCACCCCTGGGAAATCAGTCTTACTGTACGTGCAACAAAGGTGGCCCTTTCAAAGAAGCTTCAGTCACTGCAAAGCTTTATTTTGTTTCTTTATGTGTACCTCTCGGTCTACAGTATGTCTGCTGTCCTTTTTCATCTCCTTTTCTTGTTCTATCTCTCAACACACACTTTCTAAAAATTGGTCTCAACAAGAATCTTGGATTTGAGTTCTGTAATCAAAGGATTAGTCTTCTAATCACTATGACTTTCTATTGCAGCAAGATTGGAAGAGTGTGAAATATGAATAGGGGTGATTAGTTTGTTGGCGGGCTGAACCCAAAATGATCAGTGTTGAGTAGCGTGCAGCCAGTAACCATCTGATGCCCTGCTATACTGAAAAGTCCCCTGAGTGTCAGCAGACCCAGAGGGCTGAACCATTGGGCTCTGGCAGGGAGATTAAGTCTCCTTGAGACATGCCCCGATTCTCCACTCTCACGACTCTCTTATCAGGGAAGGGCACTTCAACTGTGGTATAGGAGAATAGAAAGCAATTAGGCAAGACAAATCGGACATTGAGAAGACCACTGCATGTTCTGTAGTGATCAAGCTACAGTGTTTTTCTTCTTTCAGCGCAATGCCTGCTTTTTCAAACAAATGTAAGCAAAGCATTTTAAGCCCAAAAATATTCTTCAAATTTCACAAGGCAGCACATTCTGTGCTTTCAGCATATCAAGACTGATTTCCAGAGACTCTGTGTGTGTGTGTGTGTGTGTGTACTTTGCAGGCTTGTGGAAACAGGGAGCGGCAGTGTTCAGAGCTTGTCCCTCTCTGACAGTCACCTGGCGGAGCTAGATGGAGACACCCTGCGTTTATTCGGACTTGGGGCCCTGGAGGCCCTGGAGAGGGGCTGGGGAGTTCAGACTGCTGGTGCTGTCACTGTAATAACCTTCCGCTACATCAACTTTGACGCCATTGTACCAACACTGCCGCGGATAAGGGTCAAGTTCCCCAATCTTTCGGTGAGGGCACTGGCCACACTGCATAATGAGCGATGGGATAACGTTATTGACGTAAATTAAAAGAAAAGAAGATTATACATTTTTAATTTGACCTTCAAATGTGTTTGTAGTAAATGCTGAATGTTGTCAAGCACCAAACTGCCATGACTTCACACAAAAAGTGAGGATTTTAGAGGTGTTGGCTGGCAGATACCTGCCCTCTCACAACCAAATAATCTTTGTTTGTCATCAGTTCTTGCCATTACCCACTGAACCATTTCCTATGTTAGGCAATGGATAATGTAGAACAAGTGCACCATATTAATCAAATGTACAACTTTTTTATCCAGCATCATCAGACAGACTGCAGCTTTACTGCAGATAACTATAGTAAAGGTGTTGGACAGTCGTGTTGTGTTAATTCCGAACCTCCTGCATGAACTCATCAATTTCTCCTCAGTAGAAGTGTTTGTGACAGAACAACTCTCACCCTTCCAGTGTTCTGGTAAAGAGAGCGCTGATTTCAAAGGGAAAGAAAAGAGTTCATTTAGCGGTCATTGGTCATGGTGTCGACTAACCCTAGCGACTACAATCTCTGATATGCTTTTACTTCAACCCCACTTCGCTGCCTCACAGGTGTTCCTGCTCCTAGGCATAAAATGCCCTGATGCACACAAAGAGGCAGAGCTAATCAGGAAAGATGTCTATTTTAGTAGTGAACTCTTCTTGCTGCCACAAAGAGAAACAAAGAGAGGGAAATGTAGAGAAAGAAATTTAGATTGTCTTTGGATTAAACCTAAAATTTAGTTTTTACAAGTGCAGTTTTACTCGTCAGCTTGTCATTGTCTTAGCTAAGTTTTTTGCCCAGAAAGTCAACAAATAGTATTCCTTCTATTGAATATTATGAATGAAAACCTTGTTGCTCATGTAACATATAATATAATAAAATTTTTATCCAAAGCACCTTACAGTTTACTGAAAACACACATTATATGTTTTAAATAGATTTCTCCAAACGCAATTTATCTCCTAACCCTGCCAGTCTTTGCCATGATCAACTTACAGACATGAACAAATATATAATACAGTGGCTATATAGTTCTACCTCTCTGAAAACCAATTTTTTTTTACAGCACCTGATCTTCTTGGAAACCAGCATCAGCCGTTTGCCCCAGCTGGCGGCACTGGCTCAGGTGAGGCGTCTGGACCAGCTGACCATCCACCAAGAGGGCAACCCAGTGGTCAGTCTGACTCTCTGGCGCTCTTTCGTCATCTACCGCCTCCACCACTTCAACCTGCAGAGGATCAATGGACAGGAGGTGAGGATCAGCTCGGTTTTTAGTGCAGTCCTATACGACACAAATATAATAACTACTAATAAATTCTCCTGGAAAGATCTTTTGCTGTGTGTGTAAGTTCTTGTTTGTGTGTCTATCTCAGGTGACCATGAATGATGTGATCGCTGCAGAGCGTGTGTTTGGGACACTGGGGCATATAGCAGCCACTGAAACTCCACGTTGCCGGCTCCTTCTGCTGCTAGAAGAGTCCAGGTGAGTACTTAAGACTCTCAGACACTTAATCACAACATAAAATTAACTACAATATAATGACAGGTGTGTGCTGTGTCCTGGACTGTGTATGTTGTTCGTTTAGATATGTCAAGAATGTGTGGATTCCTAAATGTGGGTATGTTTGCGTTACAGCTTGTGAGTGTATAGGCTACTGTACATGTAGGTGCATGCCTGTACGTAGCGTTTTGCGTGTATACATTTGTGTGTGCGTGTGTGTGTTCACGTTTGTGTGAGACAGCGAGACAGAGCCTGGCACCGAGGAGCCAGGGGAATTAGACTATGCGTCTCAGGGTAAGGGTGGGTACTTGGCACTTCGACACAAACATTCCTCTTTATTTCCAGCCAAAAGCTCTTGAGGTCTGTCACTCTTGGTTAATGAAAAACATCCTCGCGAAGCAAAAATCTGCTGAATTTGTCACGCACATGAATATCTTTTAATGGTTCTTATTATCTGCTTTGGTTAAGGGCAGACTAGATTGTGAAAGGTCGAAAGAAAAGCTGCACACAGTATTACTGTTACTCCAAAGATTGGAAAATTGGCAGGTGGAATTATCTGGCTTGTTAATAAAACTGTATTATGTTATCTTTATTATTATTATTATTGATGTTGAAAATGAGCTAGTAAACTTTAGGATAACTGCATCTTTGCTGCAGCTCACCTTATTCATACACTGTTGGATAGATAGATAGATAGATAGATAATACACAAAAGCAGAGAAGAAGAAGATTATTTTTGCTTCTATACTGAAATCTTAATCACTGTTTTCTGCGTCCCCCTTCAGTGAGTCTATTTCATTTGTTACACTAAAGGCTGTTAGATTTGACCGCTTATTCAAAAATATTAAAACCTGTATGTCATATGATGCATATTTTCTGGATAACAAATACTGGAGAAAGGAAACAAGATTACCATTATAACATCTACAGAACACACAAGGAACAGTTTTTGTTTAATGTTCCCACAGAGCTGCTCATTGAGTTTCACAAGAAACACTATTGAGGTGTCTTGGTTCCTGCATAGGTCAGTGTGTTGAGGAAGGCTCTAACATCACAGGGTTTGGGGATACCGCAGATGTTCTTTAGGTTCTTTAGGTTTATCAATTATGTTTGTCAAATAAAGCCTTCACTTATGTAAATGTGCGTCACAGACTTTTTCTCAAGAGTCACTTTAGCCTACTCTTTTTCCTTTTCCTTCTTACATTCATAATGTCATTACACAAAATTCTTTCAAATGTCAATTTAGTAGACTAGACTGTAGACAAGAATGTTTTGACTAAGTTGGACAATCTAATTATAACTGTTGTTCTTTCAATGGATGGTTACACTCTATTAACAAATACACAACAGGTTTTTTATGCTGGGTGTAAGAGTGGCTTTTAAACCACCTGGTTCACCTTCAATTCAACAGAACAGACACAGAGGAGACATTATCCTGGGACATAACAATGGGATGTTTGCCACAATCCTCCCCTGCGAAGACTATTTCAGCATCCTGGCACTGGCCTGTGGAACATGTTAGTGCAATGGTGTATCACGTGAGATTTTGTACTGATAGACAGCATCATTTGATTTAGTTTACATCACTTGTAAAGTCCTCTATACTCCTTTAATACGTGTACACATCCGGATGCTGACTGATGAGTGAAATCAAAACACTGACATTTATAGAAGTATTTATTAAATTATTAACACGTCATTTAGTGACAGTTTGATTGATGTCACCTCATGAAAGAAGGTGTTTTTCCAAAGAATTTTCTTGCTGATGGATTTCTTAAGCAAGTCAAATGAAAACCTTGCTTGTTATTTGATGGACACACGAACACACCTTTATTACCTTGGTGTCACTCACTTTCAGCCACTGTTTCCCCAGGTGTCTTTTGTGTCTCTTCACTCTGTGTCTAAATCACTCTTCTCTCTTCACCCTGAAGGAAGCGTCAGCTGCAATTCCTGCTGGAGGGGCGTGGCCGGCGAGCGGGGCTGAGTCCGGAGGAGCTGCGAGACAACGGGAAGCTCCTGGGAGAAGGTCTGAGCAGAGCGCTGTTCAACTACCCAAACAGACACTGCAACGCAGAGAGCCCTGAGGTCTGTTCTGTTTTTAACACTGGCCATGTGGTTTGAGAAACTGGCAACTGCTCTTGAAATTTACTTAAAAGTTAGCAAAGCTGGCCCACGCTAAAATGAAGTGTTGAGATAAGTCTGGCTATGTCCCACACATTAAGTGATGTGTTTTGCCACATCAGGTGGCAAAAGAATGCTTTACCAACTCACAAGTATTGTTGTGTAAAAGGCATCAGGGTATGCTATCATAAATCCAGCGCACCCTCAGACAGGAATCAACACTCACCATCAACTATGTGTAATTGGCGTGTGTGTGTGTGTGTGTGTGTGTGTGTGTGCAAATGTCACAGGAGTTATGACGTGTGCCATCACAGATGTTTTGCTGAATGCACGTTACAACAGCACATCTGATTTCACTTTCTATGCTATTGTGCTGCGGTTCCTAGTTAAAAACAATGCTATGCTCACTAATGTAAACAGTACAGATAATTTAAAGCAGTATATCACAGCATTTTATCTACTACTAAGTTATTTCACATCTCTCTAAGACATAACTTTATATAATCATGCATGGACAGGAATTCCAAAACGGACATTATCTTGACCTTGACCATGCAAGCTTTACTTATTTTCCTCACAGGAGGGCACCGTGGAGTCATCGGAGCGTGCTTCCATGGTAGAGCAGTACCTCCAGGAGTTGGTCCAAAGGGCATCAGACACCAATCTGAAGGGTGAGGCTCTACACAAGCTCTGGCCCTCCATGTTTGCAGAGATGGTGAGGGACTGTGTGTTGGAGATGAGGGACCGAACGGCCTTTCGCCAAGCCGGCCTTGCAAAGCTCTCCGAGACCAAGTGAAGAGGACCAAAGGTTCGCTCTTAGACCACACATGCACGCACACATGAGGACTTAACTTTCCAGACGCCCCCAGGGCTTCATCTCAAACTCCATCTTTAACACATCATCACTTAGTGACTTGTCACTGACTATCAGTTACTAAAATCTTTTGAAAACTTAAAGGTGTATTTCCCTAGTGTGAGGGAAGCTCTTTAATAAGATGGATGTAGACTGTTGTCTAGATGTCTGAAGAAATTATCATGACAAAGGCATCTTGATTGAATGTAGATTTTCAGTGAAAACACACTGTTTGGTTCTTCATTGCTTGGAGCTGTAACATACTTGAAGAAAGTTAAAAGGACTTATTGACTCACGGTACATTGTGGTCCCTACGGAGCGTCCTCTGCACTTTAGAAGCCTTCTGAATGACCCCTTTTCACCATTACTGTCATCAGCTGAAAATGTCTCTTTTGTTGAGACTAGAATGATTTTTCTGTCTTAAATCTTGTTTCATGCATCACACTCACTTTCTCCTGCCTGACATAAAAAACGGCACAAACAAGGACAAGGACTTTTCTTTGTTTACCACTGTTTTTCTGTATTGTACTTAGTATTAAAAGATTCTGTATTAATACTCAGTTTGTGTATGTGGTGTACATGATGTTTTTAAAAAAAAAAATCTATCTACAGGAGTGAAGAAGTCATGTCTTAAACCGGCATCAGATCGGTTCAGATTAGTTGTTAGTGTTTCTCTGTTCCTACAACATGACTCCACATCTAAAGTTAATGTTCAAGTTACTTTCTTCTGGTTTCACCCTTTGGCAGTTTACACTTGCATTACCCACAACTCAAAGTCCATTGGTGTCCCTTGTGTGTGCATGCGTGCAGTAGGAAATCCAGAAACCATGAAGGGTCCTCTGGGTAGTGTGAACTCAGGAATGTCCCTGAAGGCATAGAAGCTTCACCAGTTTCTCGCCACCTGTTCCTGCTCCCCTGACTCAAACCACCCACAAAGACTATTTTAACCCTCGCTTAATCAGGCATGTTGGCACCAACCTGGAGGAGTAACTGCAGGGGGATGGAGTGTCAAACATCTCCACACACACACACACACACCAAGGGGTTGACAGGCACTGCTGTCCGGTGTCATCCGCTCCACTGGAGATCAGTGCCTTGCTCGCAGGTATTTGACTTGAAGAAGAACATCAGCTCGTGTGTTAAATGAGAAACTCATTTAACACACAACGTGTATGTTCTTCTCTCCCCTCAGAGCTGGGTTGATGTCTTCTTGTTTTCAGGGGTATTGGTCACCAGTAGCTTTTGAAGAATTGTTTTGCTGTCTATTTGTGAACTCATATCAATCATCCAAGTACACTGATCTAGCTATCCAGTATCTCACAAAAGTGAGTACACCCCTCACATTATTGTAAATATCTGATTATATCTTTTCATGTGACAACACCGAAGAAATGTCACTTTGCTACAATGTAAAGTAGTGAGTGTACAGCTTATATAACATTGTAAATTTGCTGTCCCCTCAAAATAACACATCACACAGCCAGTCTAAACCGCTGGCAACAAAAGTGAGTGCACTTCTAAGTGAAAATGTCCAAATTGGGCTCAAAGTGTCAATATTTTGTGTAGCCACCATTATTTTCTAGCACTGCCATAACCCTCTTGGGCAGAGCTTCACAGGTTGCCACTGGAGTCCTCTTGCACTCCTCCAACTTCCGTTTGAGGATGTCCCACAGACGCTCAATAAGGTTTTGGTCTGGAGACATGCTTGGCAGACATACTTTTGTGAGATACTGTATATACACACGCACACACACATGCACACACAAAATATTTAGTACTGTGTTAGATTTAGGCAGGTGTGAAAAAATGCTGTAAAGTAAGAATGCTTTCATAAATAGACATGTTAATAGATTCTATTTATCAATTAACAAAATACAATGAGAGTGAAACAGAAGATAAATCGACTTCAAAATTTGGTATGACCACCCTTTGCCTTCAAAACTGCATGAATTCTTCTAGGTACACTTGCACAAAATCAGTGGATTTGTAGGCATATCGTCAGGTGCATGATTAAACAATTATACCAGACAGGTGTTAATGATCATAAATTCAATATGTAGGTTAAAACACACTCATTAACTGACAGTGTAGGAGGAATAGAAATGATGCGGAACAGCCAAACCTAGCTAACAAGGTGAGGTTGCTGAAGGCCGTTTACTCTTAAAAGCCATACACCATGGCAAGAGTGAGTGTAGATTGATATTTTGTATTGATTTGCAGTGAACATACCCTTTAATGGGACAAGTGGACCCAATCCATGCCAGCAAAATCCCCCCGAAAGCATGAAGGAGCCATGGATCCCCTCACTGTAGTGGGCATGCATTCAGGCCTGTACTGTTCTCTGGGTGTACGCCACACATGCACTCGCCCACTTGTCTGACTGCCTCACTTTTTCCACAGCTCTGTATACCAGTGCGGATGGATTTTGCACCACTGAGCTCTGAAATGTGCATTCATCTTTGTAATGAGGGGTTTATGCACTGCTGTCCCACTTTAATATCCCTCGCAATGTTACTGTTGACTGACTGTTCTTGCTAACACAGTCTGATCACATCCTGCATTGACATTCTCAGTCACCTGAGAAAGAGTTGCTCTTCTGTTTTTCTATATATATCACACTAATGCACAAGCATCACGGTCATCAAATGTCTGCTGTTGACCACACTTTCCTACCCTATTAACCGATATTCCCATGAATCAAATACAGATGTCACTTTTGTTACTGTTTCTGTTAAAACACTAGTTTTGTGACTTAAGCTTCTGCCATTAATGCCCCAACAATAAACCCTCTTTCAAAATCCTTGAGATCTGTTCCTCTTGCCATCTTGATAAACAAAAAATCACTGGGCCTACTTAGTATACAGAGCATAATTGGATGTTAATTGCTTAATTGTACCATGCAGTGCACCTGTGTGAAAGCATTTGCATCTGTTATGTTTCTTCACTCATTTATTCAGATTTTTCCTTGAATTTGACACCTGTCTGCATATATATTCTAACCAACTGGGACACAGGAGTCATCTTGTTACATAATATTAACCATTTCTAATAGCTGACACTGTGATGAGGTAGGGATTAGTGTTTGTTAGCTGTTGTGAAGCAACTGAAGTGGCAACCTCTTATTTACAAGACTCCACTCACCAGACATGCTGATCTATTTAAATGTTTAATTCCCTATGTAGGGGAGAAAGGTAGCTTTAAATAAATCAATATTTTTTTACCCTTAAAAAATAAAAACAAAAAAATCAATATTTACATTTATCCGTTTTAAAAGGTAATAAGATAAGTACAAACATTCTACATAAGGTTATTTGCTGACTGTATAGGTTTATTTTTTCACTAAAATGGCTTTTTGAAATCTAGGTTGTTACCTGAACTGTTGGATCACAGATGAAAGTGACATGTGACATATGAAAGCAGTGTTTTTTTCACATCACTGTGGTCTCTGCCCCGCCAATGCACAGTGGAGATCGGCAAAGAAGGGCTCAGGAAATGGAAAGCAAAATGACTCATGCATTGTAAGCCTGTGAAGGAACTATTATTAAAGGATGCACATAATTACACAAATATTCATATAAACGTAAATAAGTAATTTCACGTTTGTAGCGCACACTTTCTCTCAGTCAGCCTTGTGCACCTCTGTTTCAGTAGTTATTACCTACATTTCTCAGAATACTTTATGATGATCCCCGGAGAACATGCCACGTTTCATTCAGCTGTAGGTTTTATAGATACCTGTTTGACGAATGCTGTTGAGAGAATTTTCTACATATAAAGGAGGTTAGCGTAACAGAAAAAAGAGTGAGTGACTGCAGCATTATTGCACCAATACGGACTTACCAAAAGACTATTGTCATGCAATATTATCTTCACAATTTGTGTTCGGTTGAATGACTAGCAATAAAATCTAAGCGCTGGTCTGAAGGACGCAGTGTTGATGTGCTCGACCCTCTGATAGACTTTTGTCTAGTCAGGACACATGGCTGCCAATTCGTTCCACCTCACAGAACCAACTATTAGTTTCTCTTGGAATGAACCAAGTGCATTGTTTATTGTTAGACATGCACTGCAAAAAAGAACCATCTGAAAATGTCATTTCAGTTTGTTTGAAATAAGATTTTACTTTAAGCAGCACAACATCTGATCACACAAATGAGCAACATATTTTGCTCATTACTAAAATGAACCCATGTTTCTTTTTTTAAATTGTGAATCAGATTACAACTATTTAGTTACAAGGGCAGTAATGTGGCTGGTTATTTTATTTTTTTTAATAAACCTTCAATGCAAACAAGTGAAATTATATTAACCCACTCATTTATATTTGCAAATACTGAAGTAATACTGTACACTATTTTACGCTGTGGAAGTGTTGATGGATTTTTTTTTCAGTGTAGCGCATGTCCAGTCGATCGTCACCATGCATATTTTTGTGCAGTGACAGACAACAGCAACTCCCCTCTCCTTATCTCGTCTCGGGCAGCCTTCAATTGGTCAACTGAAACAGTATTTCATTAACGATCCTGTAATTGGAGGTTTGTTTGCCTCTTTAGGCTCTGGAAACATTTGGGTTAAAGGCAAATTCCTGGACAGCATCAACATCTGCAACAGGACTGCCCCCCCAGCAGATACATACAGACTGTGTACTTACATACAGACATATATACTGTACATACAGTACCACGTGGATAAGTGGATGGACTTGTAGGTAGACTTACATTTGTAAATATATATATGTATATAAACACACTCAGATTTCACAGTATTTACAGATTGTGTCTGGCTTATAATGAAGCCATTGTCAAGCGAGCCTGTTCACAGACAATGGCTGTAGTGAGTTGCACACTGTAGGTCACATAGTACGGTGTAAACCACTGAACCATAGTTATGTTTTGTTCTGTTAAATAAAACTAACTGGCTAAAGATAACAGTACACTAAGCTTATATAAATGCGAGAATGTCATTTTTCTCTGAAGACAAATTTCCCTACTCTCTCCTACTGCAGGCTGTATATACATAAGTGTGTAAAACTTTGAAACAACCCTCTTAAAATAGAATTTTTTTGTACAAATCATGTCCCATTTTTCATTAAGCTTAAAAGTCTTTTAGTTTGTCCAAGTTTGATTAGTTGTTTTTGGACACTAAGTCATGGCCAAGACCGTGTGACATGCTTCCCCTTAATGGATGAATAGTCGCAATGATGCCAGGTAGTAGATTATAAACCACTTTACACTGTAGACCACTATAAATGTCCCTTGATCTCATGAAAACAATACATTTGTGAGGTGAATGTAAAAGAAAGGATTGATGTCTGTCCACCAGAATGCTTCAAGGAAGTGGTACTCATATGTACCAGTGACTAAAGTGATCAGTAACCCACCCCATCAGCCAGAATGCTTCAACTGAAAGGTGTGAGGAGTGGCCAGGGTGTCACCAACTCCACAAATGACTTTTGTTGCATAGTAACTACATGGAAAGATACCACAGAGGTAAGTGGGAATTAATTTGTGTGACTGGTATAAACTGACCCTTTAATCCTGCTGTACTTCAATTTTGTATA